ATCTCTTTTCGAGAGAACTTCCTGCACATGGCAAATTGCATCTGCCTACATGTCGCTCTCGACACACGCGCCACAATTCTGCGTGCGGAATGACGAGTCAGCATACATGCCGTGCATGCCCATTCGGTTGTCATACACGACAGTATTTGTCGACCGGCCGCGTTATCTTGTGTTCGCACATGGCGTATGCCGCAAAGTCTCGATTCGCAAACCTTTGCAGCATCTTAGGCGGCCCTCACCGTGTCATGGCCCGTCCCAGCATGTACGATGATGGTACAACCCACAAAGACCATTGGGAGTGCGCATCCCAGGGCGATCTCCGACGTAGTGCGTATATCCGTTACCCCTAAGATCCGATGTCAAAGTCGTTTCGGTCACCAGCGGCATCTCCTTGCTGGACACTGACGTTCAGACTACAACCCACGCGTCAGCCACGATTGCGTTGCGAAATTATATCCCCTATGATTCAGATTGTGGGTACAATCATGCACAATCGATGCGTTATCCTGCTGTATAAGCCACCGGTTGATATCTACCCGACTCGATTTGAGATTGACGTTTTCCTCACCGCCCGATCAAAAGACCACAATCTTATCCAAATCAAGAACCGGTGTTCGGAGCCGAACGTCAAACCCATCTCACTCTGTGGAGTTGCATTTTATACCCTGGCCCACGTTGGTCTAACACTGGTTGTGGTTGACTAATGATGCTGGTGTATATGCTTAGTGTATAGAAAGAACTTCGGTACGTTCTCCGCTCGTACATGACTGGTTACTAGACATTGATTGCTACAAACGATGGAACCTCGACAGAGCGTTCCATTGCTGAACCGTCCCGACAAACATGTCACTAAGGCACACCAGCACAAGCGTTCAAGGAACATTCCAAATGTACCTCCCTCACGACTGAGTCCTAGGTCTGATTCAACGGCTAGCTTACATGGTGGTGGATGTCTTATTCCGATCATCATACACTGCTACCAAGGTCTAGAGTCTAGACCCATTGCCATCTCTTTCGTATCCACTTGAGAACATATACAAGAAGCACCAGTACAGGGACCTCAATCAATGGACCCACTGTACTCGCAAGCGCCTGCCCACTACCCGCCCCGTACACAGCAACCACTACCGCAATAGCCAGCTCGAAGTTGTTGCTCGCAGCTGTGAAGCTCTGCGTGCAACTGACTTTGTAGCTAAATCCCATCTTCCAGCAAAACCAAACTGTACTCGTAAAGATGACGATGAAGTAAACCAACAACGGCGCGCAAACCCTTAGCACATCCGTAATCTGCCTAACTACATGCGCGCCCTGGCTAGCAAAAAGAACAATGATCGTATACAACAGCCCGATGAGTGAAAGCGGTGCGATATAGCGGATAAAGCAACGCTGGTACCGTTCCTCTCCCAACAGGGACCGCAATACCAATCTCGTGAGTACCGCAGCACCCAACGGGATGCCCAAGAACACACCCACGCTCTGCGCGACCTTTTCATAACTTATATCCGTCTTATCTCCATGACTGACAACCTGGATATAAAACACGGCAAACGGTGCGAACAGGACAATCTGCAGTATGCTGTTGAATGCAACCAAGACGGCGCAGTAATCGCCGTCGCCGCCCGCCAGATCAGTCCAGATGAGGACCATGGCAATGCAACGTGCAATGCCCACGAAGATGAGTCCTTCTCGGAGGTCTTGCCGGTCGGGCAGGAAAGCCCAAGCGAGTGCTACCATAAAGAGAGGTGCGATAATCCAGTTGAGCACAAACGAGACTGCAATCTGGATCCAGAGTTCGCGTTTCTTGAGGAGAAGGTGGAGAGTTTCGTAGCGGACTTTGCAGAGGATAGGGTACATCATGACTAGGAGGCCGATCGCTGTGTACACAATGTTTTTAGCAGTTGACCTGCGACCGTGTCCTAGGATGGATGCGGACTTGTAGGATGTTAAAACGTACCGATTGGTATACTGACGCCAACGAATTCTCCTCTTTGTAACGCGGGACCCACGGAATCGACGGTGTTTCCCAAGGCGATGCCAATGGCCATGGCGAGAATGATCCATACTACCAGAAAGCGGTCGAGGAATGATAGGCCTTTCAAAGGAGGTAGGTCGGGTTTCGTAGACGGTGTTCCTCCCATCATGTCACCACCATCGTTGCCAGCTTTTTCCACATCTGTAGCATGTCTATGCTCCCCATCTCCTAGTCTTATCTCCTTTTCTTCCCCCATGGCTCCGCGCTCGACTGTGTTCATATTGCTTGCCGTCTTTTCTCTTTTCTTTCTCTCCGGCTTCGCAAAGTTGCGAATCGTCGTCGTTGTCGTCCTTTGAGCTTTTAGACGCGTTGGTAATGTCAATAATTCAATGCGACCTTTCCATCTAAAGTAATGGGTGGGTGAGGCGGAAATAGTGAAGTCAACCAATCATCACTGAGCAGTGACTACTCTTTTTGCTGCCAAGACGCTAAGACGGGCAGAACTTCGGGCGGCAAAGACGGTGACGAGCGTTGGGGTTGGCGATCTTTCTTTCTTTTCTTCTTGCTCGTCATGCGACATTCCTTGGACGGCTTTCGAAGCCGCATTTGGATAATGCGTCAGCTCTGCCATGCTTATCACATGGTCTTACTGTGCAACGTATCTGCGCAACTGAACAAGAGCGTAGCGATCTGGATTTTGATCTGGGTTTGCCAATATGACTACGTAGCGTACCTGCTACATTTGCCTTTCACTTCAGTGAATGCATACCCGTCGCCTCAAGGGAATAGCGTACCATGCTCGCTGGCGTATCTTCGGGACCAGACATGCAAAGGCAAAGAGCGATCTTCTGCAAAAATGGGCTCCAACAATCCGACGGCTCATACATGTTGGTTGCTTGCAAATGTAGCTTCTTATCAAGTACTTCCAAGCTTCATCATTAATCTTTTCCCCCATTCTCATCGAGTATCTCCAGGCGCAGTCATGAATTCTCACTTGTACCTCCCAAGTTCTTCGAATACCTCTGAGCTCCTTGCTGGTACGTCCCAGCGTCTCTGGATATCGGCACACAGAGAAACAAAACAAGGAAGGCGGTCGGGCGACTGGTCCACTTCGCATACATACCAAGTGTGCAATGGGTCGTGGTCTGATGTTTTGCATACTGGACCGTGCGGGTTGAGGCTATAGACTGCAAAAAATTGACAGGGTAACTTGACTGGCCACTCTTTATCCATAAGAGAGTAGGAGGGAGTAGGAAACGAAGGACATCAAAACGATCGAACGTGTCTCAGGAGTTCCTTCGAACCATGGTGTCTTGCTATGAGACTTGTGTTATTCATTCATAGTGTGGATCAATCTCTGCATTTGTATTTTAAGAGTGTCTTCTGTTGTGATCATCTTTCCGTGTGTGCGCAACGCACCATGCAGGAGAAACTAGTTTGAACATGGGCAGCTGTTGGAGAGTACCGAAATTTTTCCATCGTACACGGCCTTAAGGCAGCTAGGTAGCATTGACTGGGCAGTCATTTCGGTCTTCAACACGGAAGCACCATTTAGACTGGTTGCTACTTTTAGGAACATCCGGAGGTTCTTCTCAACATAGTGTATATAATCACACTTATAGCGGTTGAGAGGATGTCGATTGTGTATCTATAGTATGAATCAAGTCCTGCCATTATATCTGCATTTCCTCGACTTGACTACCTTCTCGCTCCCCTTTCTATTTCTTATCTTCGTTCCTGAGTGTTCTCACACTTCCTTCTATGCTTCCCTCCCAATCACACCCGCCAACCATTGCAGGCTCCTTCTCCTACTACTGTTTCTCCTTTCCTTCTTTCCTCCGGCCTTCCAGCTCGCAATGGTAGCCTCCCTACATAACGGTCCTCCATCATCTTCGTTCTCCAGCACCACGATGTCGTCGTCAACCACAATCTTAAGCTTCTTGTCGTGCTCCGAGGCTACAACGTAGGCGTCGGTGCTAGGAGATGCTGGGGTCCAACACGGCGTCGAGCATGTACACGACTGGTATGAGGCGGGTGCGAACATGTGCGAGAAGAAGTCTAGGACTGCTTCGGAGACGTGGTACGGTGTTATTTGGTGACCTGGGTGTGGCGTGTGCGTGGGTTTGTTGGGGGAAGGCGGTAAATGAGACGTTTGGGTCTGCTGGTGTTGGTGTTGCGCAAGCATCGTATTGAAGGCCGAGATGTCGAGAATGTTTGGGTAGAGTGACATGTGTTGTGGGATGCTGGTCGAACTTTGTCCTCTACTTCTGATTGTGATCGTAGTGGTGAAGTAAATCTTGGTAGTTCGGGTATCAATGGAGTGACCGAAGATGTTGCTCGCTGGTAGCTAATAGTGCAGTGTAGATGCAGTAGAATGCTTGTGATGTGAATCTACAGCCTCGCGAACCATCGTTACCATTTAAGGTACGCCATCCTCCTACTAAGAGATGCATATGACCTGATGCAGCTTAGCAATATCGTGTGATACACAGGCAATCCAGTACCAGAAAGCCCATGTACAATCACTTCTGATCGACAGAAATCTGCCCTCGTAGCAGGACACCTCCAGCGTTAGCCTGCGGGTGGAGAGACAAGTGGCGTGACGGCGCGCGCCCGGGCGGAAGCAGCCGGTCTCGCCACTACAAGAGACGCACCCCCGCAACGTCCCGAACCCTGCATCTGGAAGTCCCCCTTGACAAAATCCTCCATGCGGAGAAAACGCGCGGGTTGATTTCGCGGGATAGTGTGATACTGGATGTCTCGAATGCTTACCGAGGCGAATACGACGTCGCGTGTGCTGCTGAACCCCGTGTTGACATTGCCTAAGTGAGAAGTCTCGCCACCACATGCTGGATGTTCGTTCCCAACATTATGAGTCGCGACTCCTAGGAAGGACTACTTAATCCGCGTTCTGGAGAGGACAAGACTCGATTTCCAAGCACAAGATAAACCAGCAACAACGATACCTACTTGCATCGGATACTTGCAAATATCAACATTTACAACCACGAATATACTTTCAACCAAAATGTCCGCTACAACGCTACCTACACCCACCGCTGCAGAACTCGCCTTTGAGCTTGAGAAAGCCGCTATCACATCTTACGAAGAAGGCTGGGATCGATGGGACGGACCAATCTACCCAATCGGCTACATACAATGTCGGATGCGTAAGTCTTCCACTTCAACCCCCTGTTACCTCTCATGGAGAAGACGAACGAAAGGCTGACTAGCCGTTTTATTTGTAGAAGAAGACGGATATGTAGCACCCAACTTCGAGGATGCAAAAGCGAAAGGTGTTGAAGTGAAGGTCGAGGATGTGAGCGCAGATTGAGAGCAGGACAACAAGGATGGTCAAGACCGGTGGCCTTTTGCGATCTTCTGGCGTTTGGGGTAGATGATATATAATAGGAATCTCGCCTCCTTCTTGTATGGCTCATTTGGAAGATCGAGAACGGTATCTGGTTAGGAAATAGTAATAATGCGATGAGTTCATAAAGCAGATCTGGCCGATCGCTATTCTCCAGTTGCACATTGCGTATTGCGGGACGCTGTAACAGCAGTGTGAAAACCGTTCATTCAACTACGGTGGAGACTCTACAATATCGCAAGAGAGCGAACACATCACACAAACGCCATGGAGCGCTCTTGCCTAAGCGCATACCGTCCTAGCCCCAAACACCATCATTATATAACAGCAATATGCTGTATGTATCCAGTACAGGACGGCCGTGAAGTGAACAAGCAACCATCTTATCGATTGACGAAGCTATAACCGTTGACATGGAGCGTTTTACGTTTTCATCCGTGACCCAACCAAACGCCGAGTGAATGCTGTATAGATGCCAGCATCTTATCTACCAAGGATAGAGAAGCAAAGAGACCACGATGTTGTTCAACTCGCCTGCTTGATCTTGAGATCCATGACGTACTGCATCAGGCTGCAGTCGTCGCACTTGACAAGTGCTTGGAGGGCCTTGACCCTTGTTCGGAGCAGCTGATTCTCTTCTTCCACTCTCTTCTTGTCTTTCTCCATTTGCTTGATGTAGGCAGTCGCAGATGCAAGAATGACTGCTTTGCTAGGCTTCGAGGGTGTGGGAAGGTCCTCAATGTCGGCGCCGTCGCATGCCCGGTTGTTTTGTTGGAGGGAGGGCACGACACGCTTGAGAGAATCTAGTTGCGTGTTTAGTGATTCCCGGTACTTTCGTTCGACCTGGTTGTGCGGCAGTCGTCGGCGTGATTTTGGCTTTTCATCGTCGGCATCTTGAGGCGACGCTTTTGTAGAATTGTCTTCTGTGGTCTCGCTCTTCATCCGTTGCCGATCGTCTGTCGGCGATGTGGTAGATTCCTCGTTTCTAGAGTGACGTGTTGAGAAGCCGTTTGCTGACGCGTCGCTTTCAGATCGTTTCTTGGGCCGTCGCTGAATTTCTACTACACCGTCTTCAATGGTGACTTCCTGGGGGTCTGAGAGCAGGTTGCCAATGCTCGGAAGAGCATCTTGGTCGGCGAACAAGAAAGGAGCACACCCACCGCCGCACGTCGACGGATTAGGTGGCGTGCCATCGATCTGGTCGTGATTAGGGCATAGTGGCGATGTCCAGCAAGCCGAGAGTATGTCTGGCTTATTCTTGGTCCGCTTTGTGGTAGTGTTTGCTGTTACTGTTGTTTGAGTTCTCTCAAGTCCCGGCTTGGAGGCGGTTGAAGATCCTTTCGGGCCGTCTGGGAAGGTGAGGTCTTCAACGAAACCGGATTCCAGATTGTTGGGAAACAAAGATTCGTAGCCCGGGTTAGGAAAGGTATTAGCACGTTGAAGTGCTTGCCTCTGAGCGGGCGACATGTGGGGTAACTGTTGGCTCAGTTGGTCCGCCAGCGATGCCGGTGTCTGAGATTGTGAGTTGTTACCAGTGCCTGCTGTAGGCTCGGGTGACGACTCGGTGGTTGATCTGCCGCCACCGACGTTGTTGCCCAAGGGCTTGAGGACGTCAAGGTCGCCGAGAAAGTAATCGTTGGATAAGAACAGGGAGTCGTCAAAGTAAGGATCGCCTGATGTTCCTCCGAGAAGAGAGTCAAAATTGGTGACGTCTTCAGGTGAAGAGCCTGACGTGTCGGTGGTGGATTTAGGCATTTGGGAGTTGGGAGGGGCAGACGTAGGTGGTAAAAGATCGGACCATTGGTCGTTCGGTAGGTTGAAACCCTCAGTATTGAGGAATGCGTCCCAATTGAGAGCCATGATGGTAGTCCGCAGGTGGGTTGTTGCACGGAAGAGCTCACGCGTTGATCAGGAGATACAATCGCTAAGGTGCGCTGGCCAAGCCACACGTGAGACTAGCAGGCAAGGTGCAGGATCAGAGCCGGCTGGGGTCGAGGATATAAGCGCAAGCACTTCCTCCGTTTTTGTCAAGATCAAGAGACAGTCGTCAGCACTCAGAATGGGTCGACGAGCGAAGATGTAGCCAGGCGTTTGAAGAGAATTTCCCTGGATTTTACTCGGGATTGGCGGTCGTATAAAGATGGTGAGTAAGACACAAGGTAACTGCTTGGCAGTAGTTGCAGGTAACTCCAGGCGAAGTCCACAATGTTTCGTGGTAGCGCTCGTCTGAGGTATGATCTCCCGACTGGCCAGGGGTTCACGAAGATGCAAAATCGAGAGTGGCAGGTGCAAAGGATAGCCAGAAGCCTAGGAAAGGTTCGTCGCTCGTTACGGGACTTCGGTACAGCAATTGTGCGGAAGTTGTCCTGTGCCAGGTCCCGCGCAGTTCTAGATTAGTTACTGATCAGACCACCTGAGGGTGGCGTGACATTTCCCTGGGCCCCGCTTCGTGTCCGGATTCATGCTAGCGACGGTGCGCCTTGCACCTCATCGCGATATTCAGCCACAGCAGCGATTTTCTCGCAGCAATTTCGGAGAGCTGTTGTCCCATGTGCCTGAGAATCATAGCATAGCAGGTGGCATGGGTGGATTGAAAGTGCTGGACACCATGCGATGTCGAAGCGGAAGCCAATGGCGCTCCCGCTAGTGGTCTCGGTTGCCCCACGAATAGCACTTGGGCGGCACCTAGCATGCTTGAAGACTACCACAACAACTCTGCAATTTTCTTCTCTGCTGGCAAGGCCTGTAAAGATGTTATGTGAGGCTTTTGAGAAACTTCAGGACTTCTATGCAGCATTTTTCTTCTTCTCGTTATTTGGATGCTGTGCTATCAACAGAACAAGGCCGTGTCGAGCCGTGTCTAGATGTTACTGCAATGCACTCTATCACTGTCCTGGAACTTTGACATCTTGCCACTTCCTCATACTGTTGCAGATCGATTCCCTTTCTTTAGTGTGGCAGTATCCTTGCGCTCGATCAAATCCTCTTTAACGCTCCCGAGACACTCCATGTCTTGAGTCGACCCATGCCGACCCACAACCTTACAGTTCTTGCCCGAACCGTTTGATTGACCCTTGTAGTAGTTCCCAAAAGCAATTAGGCAATCCTGGGGAACCGGCAGTTCGCCGTTGGTGGCTTCTGCTCGGATGCTCCCGTGTAGGCGAAGGGTCCAGAATCTTCTTACTCTTCCTGGTTCCACCCCGAAGCTCTAGCTGTGCATGGCTAGATATTCAGCATTTCGAAGTTCGAAACGAGCTTCTTCTTCAGGCATGACTGTTCTTGACAGACGCATGCTGCCAAGCAGATCCATGCAGGCTTGTGTGTCTTTGTCCGAAAACTCAACAACCAAACAGAGTCGTAATCACATCTTAGCTTGTCCATCTTAGCATCTATACCATCAGGACTACTGGAATGGTCGGATCCAGTCTCTCACGGGCTTTTCTCCTCGTCGCTCGAGAGCCTGGTATTATTGGTCGATGACACAATGGACAGTATTCGTTGTACCTTATGAACCATTCGTCCAGACAACGTGAGTGAAAGGCGTGAGAGCAGTGAAGGCCCCGAACCTGCGCATCGTCGGAAAAGTCGTCCAGACAGATGGCACTGCTCACGGTTAGCCTATCTGCTCAATTGACAAAGCTCATTTGATATACCTACCATAGTGGATCGTGTGGTTGTGACGCAACAGCGGACTTCTCTTTCTGACTTGCGAGCCAATCATAGAAATTTTGAGATTTGATGTGGCTTTCTAGCTCATCTTGTCGCGTTTTCCAGCGCTTCTCTTTGCTACCAGATTCGGCGCGGCTACATGGTCGGAAAATGGAGCCCCTGCGGCGGTTTCTGTCGTCAGCTTAGACATGCTTAAAGCTCTCTATCCTACTAGTGTGGCTACTGACATGATGATCAGTCCAAGAAGTAGGATGATCAAGACTGAGGGTACGACGATACCGACAACAATAGTACCGCTTTTGGCTCCCGTGGGCGCCTCTTCATCGGTGTTGTTGCTCGACATAATAATAAGGACTGGACAATGCGGCCCCCCAAGAGAAGAAGATAGGACTAGGAGTTAAGAGTAATTCGAAATGTTGCGTATGTACAGCAGGTTGGCTCTCCGATGTGGACCGATTGAGCTGCGTGCATATCACGGGTGGCGCAATCACCAACTGCGCGCATGTGGTGACCCAGAGGCAACGGAATGTATGGCTCGGGGGTTATGAAGTGGTTTGATCAAGGTGTTGTGTTCACGCCTGAGCGCGCAGCCCGGAGGAAGGCGGATCTGAGGATAAAGGAAGAGGAGTCACCCTTAAAAGTAGCTACTTGTTCATCAGATGAAGCCCAAGGCTGGCGTCTGCAGCTCGATACAGCCAATGCGGGCTTGGTCTGGCCACCCTGGATGCTGCGAACCTCTCAGAATGGTCAGTTTCCGAGCCAAGCGTAGAGTTGTCAAAGCTAGCCAACCAACTTTCATCGACTTGCTCTTGTGACGCGGGGTCGATAGCTGGAAGGGCCGACAAAGTTTGGAGCGGGCAAGGTGCCCGCGCGGTAACATGTTGCACAAACCGCTGAACTTGACCCGCGGCATATCAAGAGCTCTTGGTGTGATGATGGCGATGATGGCGCTAGGAGGCGGTGCATGTGAAGGGTTGAGGGATCGGTGGAGACGGGAGGGAAGCTAGGGTCTATATCGGCGTGCATCATGGTGGGGTAGCAAACCTCGTATATCGGAGGTCAGTCTCACGTTGAATACCTTGGTACGGACCTCTTAGTATGCATCTCGGGGTCTTGGGAGTTTGCATAGTGAACATAGGTAAGTTCCCGTCTTACGAGACACGCGTCCGAATTGCGCGTGCCTTGGCCAGCAAGATACCTGATGCTACCTTGGTCCCCTAAGCCCCATCTTTCGCAACCAGGCTTTGGTATCGCGTGCGCCGTTGTCGATGCAGTCGTTGTGAGTGGTTCGTCATCTGCGGGCTATCGATCGCCCTTGCTAATCTTTGCCAACCCGGCCCCCAAATCCTCACAACATGACCAGACCCTGACACGCATCCCCTTTACCGACAACGCCGTCACCTTCTCCGCCTCGAATGGAAACGGGGAGATATTCGACTGGGTTGCGCTAGATTTTCTATCAATGTCAAGCCGAAAGGGATTGTCCTGTGGCTTTTGTACGCAATTCGACATGCTTGAAGGATTAGACCATGGAGCCAGGCGAGCGAATGTCATGCCTGTCCCTCAGCCATGTGAAACTTAGCCACAGATGTGCACCTGCAGGGCAAAAGGGGTATATCCGAGCGTAGACAGATGATCATGATAGGCATCTGCGTACATCTTATAACGAATGCTTTTGACATCGCGTCTGTGATTATCGACCTTGTTTGGTACACAAACATGCCATATCAATATCAGTCGCTGCCCAATCTCCATGATTCAGAAGATGTATATATACGCTTGCTGGAACTCCATGAGGGACCTCCAAGCGGTCTTATTACTGGTCGATTGTACTCAACATTGCTATCGAAAGCTCCAAAATTCTTCGCCGTCTCGTACTGCTGGGGTCCGCCAACACAAAAAAGTACCATTCATCTTACAAATGTGGCTCCATTTTGTGACCTGGGAAACGACAATACTCTAGAAATACCCGCCACACTAATACCTTTGTTATACCGGATACGCGGCTGGCCGGTGAAAGCACGTACTTTGTGGATCGACAGCGTGTGTTTGAACCAGATGGATAATGACGAGAAGACCGCGAACGTACCAAAAATGCGACAAGTATATATGAAGGCCGCTGTCACTGTGAGCTGGCTGGGATTGGAAGTTGAGGGAACAGCAGCAGCATTTGAGTATGCTTCCAGACTGCACACCACATACATACATGAGATGGCGGATCAGGGGAAACATGTCTTGACAGCGGAAGAAGAAAAAGAGGAAGTTCCGCGCGTTCAGGTCAAGCTGGGCGATCCGGCTCTTGAGACCTTGCTGCGCCTTCTAGATCGACCCTACTTCGAGCGGGCTTGGGTCATACAAGAAGTCATTGTTTCCAACGAGGTGTGGTTCCTGTGTGGAAGCGCCATCATAACCTGGAGTTCGCTGTTGACTGCATATGTGTATCTGATGGCAACCAAGCCGTGGCTGTGGGAATTCTACCCTGGCCTTAGGCCACATATAGTTCTTCTCATGAAATTCAGCGAGCAAGAATGGACAAACGGTGCTGATGTCGATTGTTTTGGTACGCTACTGAGGCATCGCATGTGTTTGTCTGGTGATCCTAGGGACAAGGTGTATGCATTTTATGGTATGAGATGTAAGAAGGCACTAGAGGATCTGGGAATCGAGCCAAATTACGACACAGAAACCACGACGGAAGTAATGTACACTCGGTTGGCTGCCCGCGCACTTCACAAGGCACAGGTAGCAGTTCTTCATGTGCCGCGTCTTATCATCACTCCCCATGAAGAGAGCGACACAAATTTCACACGACTCACACTTCCATCCTGGGTACCGGATTGGCGTTGGACCGAAGCAACACCAATGTCTTTACTCTTAGCCGAAGTTGGTGAGACCAACACAGTGCTAAAATACCATGCCTCAGCGGACTCCATTTTCAAGCCCCAATTTGATCTCGAAACGTTCAATTCAACATCAACCCTCTCAAAGCACTTGAGTCAGTTGCCCAAGATGCTTAACTTGTGCGGAGTCACAGTAGCGAGAGTCACCCAGCTCACACCACGGCGCTGGATATCACGCAAAACTTCAATCCACCAGTCCTTACTCGAACAAGCACAATTATTACAATTTGACCAGTACCAAATCTATGAATGGGAGGTTTTCTTTCGTCCTAAAAACGCTGCACAAATCTATCCTGCGACAGGCGAGCTTGCGGCGCGAGCTCGGGACGAGACGATCATGGCTGGTACAACGCAATTTGCTCCAGAGATCAAACGCCGCGCTTGGGCAGCATTTGAGAAACGCCAAAACTTCTTACGTCTTCTTCATAAATCCCATATCCACGGCTTTCTAGTTTGTTACATTGTCGTAGTCTTGATTGAGCGGGTACTTCGGCGCTTTGGTTGGGCCAATCCGGAAGCACAGTCCAAGTGTATGGTAGGGCATATATGGAATCGCAAGGGTGCAACAGTGGTTAACTCTGAAGATCCTAAATTGACTTACTACGCGCTGGTGCCGAGTATATGTCAACTTGGAGACCATGTGGTGCTGGTCGAGGGTGTTACAACACCACTTATATTACGGAAGAAGGGTGAGGGGACGGATGCTACCTGGGAGTTTATTGGCGACGCTTATGTCCATGGCATTATGAAGGGGGAACTTTGGGAAAGGAGGAAGGGAGATCGCAAGGACATGTGGATTACCTGAATGAAAAGGGAGTGCGCGCGTACGGGACTGCAACAAGATGGTCGCCACATTCTAATTCACCTTCGAATTTGCACTCCAAGCAGCCATTTCTGCCTTGCAAATTTGCTCTCCGTGAATACTTATTTACACACCAGCTCGAATCGCCTGCTCAACATCCAAACTCTACCGGAACATCCAATATCACGTCCAAATGTCTCAACCAAAGATCACGGCCTTCGCCAACGAGATACTTGACAACATCTTCTCCCGCCTTATCGACAAGGACGACTGGCTTGCTTTATGCAAGACACATCGCAGCTTCAAAGCCTCGGGCCAGCGACTTCTATTTCGCGACATCCAGATACCTGCGCAACACAGCGCACATTCTACGGGGCGTTGCTCAATGCTACTAGGGGCGCTCACAGCCGCTTCGCATCTTTTAGGCTTCGTGGAGACTCTACAGATTGACTGTTGTCTGAAAGGAGACCTCGTACTCGAGCGAGACTCGATTCACGCTATCCTTACCAAAGTACAGACCATACAGCGCTTGACTATTTTCATCGTGGATCAGCCGCACGAAGATCTTGCGTACGATCTGCGCAATGAGATATCGAGCGGAATTATTCACATGTAATCTTGCTAATCCATAACATGCTTCGTATCAGAGACTAACCTTGCCTTCAGGTTGCAAAACCAAGCAAACGTCAAGCAAATCATCATCAACTGTCCCGCGCGCCACTCATTCGATGCTGAAATGCTCTTCACTCTCGAATCAGCCACAACGCTACACGTACGAGAGAACACCCCGCATTTGAAACGCCTAGGATTTCCCAGGAAGCCAGGCGGACAGATATGCAACATAGATCTTCAGAATTCGACACCCACCGACTACGCGCAGGAACTCGTTTACGTCCCCGATAGTGTTCGGACGTGCCTCGAAACTCAAGAAACTACAATTTTTGCGTTCAAAGGCCAACACGGTGGTTTCATCACTTTCTGATGGGTGCATCCGAGCTGTGTTGGGATGGGAGTAACGGATGCTCGTGGCATTAAAGATAGATATTCTGATGGAGCCGCTCTCATCTAAGGACAGTTTGAGTCTTAGTAGAACCCAGAGAAGCGACTGGCGGCCTGTAGTGCTGGAAGAGGCGGTGTACTTTTTGCATATAGGGGATCCACGCACGAAATGTGGCTGCAGAGGACTTTACCGAATAGTACAATGCAGATACTGTTAAACTTAAAACTAGAGTGTATTTTGACAGTATGAAATGGATGAGAATATTTCATCATACCCAATAGATGAGGATGCTTCGCCGCTACCATGGTTGAATAGAGACATTACCACTGCGAACGCTGTCGCCGTCGAACCAGCGCCAGCACATGAACTACCTGTCCAAGGTTCAACTCAACGTGACTGCAGTTGATTCATCGTAAGACGAGTGCGACCATAAGAAGACGGTGAAGATGCTTTGTAATTGATCTTCCAGAGTGGAGCTGCACTAGCCACATCACGTGATACGTGGCGGCGCTAAGACCGGCAACGTTAGCTCGGAACGTCCTTTGGGAGGCAGTCGCCGCCGTCGCATGAAGTTCAGCAAGGACTCTACACGTCCGCCTTCACCCACCACCCTTCACTTCCCCGCGCCTAACACATCCAGTCGCGACCATGGCGGACCAGTACGAGTACGATGACCCCATGGACGACGAGTACGAGGATGAGGAGAACCGCGTCTTGCCCGAAGACTGCTGGGCGGTCATCAGCTCCTTCTTCGACACAAAGGGTCTGGTCTCGCAGCAGCTCGACTCTTACGATGAATTTACGCGCAATACAATCCAGGATATTGTAAAAGAAAACGGCAGCGTCATCCTCGAGCAGAACACTCCTTACAACCCCGATGAGGAGGAGAATCCGATTATCAAGCGCCGCTATGAAATCAAATTCGGGCGCGTTTACCTTGCGCGACCAACACACACGGAAGGCGACGGTACCACGGTGCAACTGTATCCTCACGAGGCGCGTCTACGAAATCTTACCTACTCCGGTGCCATGTTGGCGGACATTGAAAACCGAATCATGGTCGCCCGTGAAGGGCGCGAGCCAGAGGAGGGCGACGACGAGGAAATGGAGGGAGGTTACACAGGCGGACCATCGCAGATTCGGTGGGAGCGTGAGGACATGCCCATGGATGATGGTGCGGCGGCGAGGGTGTTCATCGGAAAGCTGCCCGTCATGTTGCGGTCAGAGCTCTGCCACTTGCGCGCTCAGTCAGATGCAGACTTGTTCTCTCTAAACGAGTGTCCTTACGATCAGGGTGGATACTTCGTCATCAACGGTAGTGAAAAGGTGCTCATCGCCCAAGAGCGCAGTGCCGCGAACATTGTACAAGTCTTCAGAAAGAAGCAGGGTCCCATTCCATGGATAGCCGAAATTCGAAGTGCCGTCGAAAAGGGCACGCGGTTGATCTCGTCCTTCAACATCAAGTGGGCAGAGAACTCGCTCGCCGGTCCCGGCAAGCGTATCCCCGGTCCCTTCGCATACGCTACCCTCCCATACATCAAGGCCGATGTGCCCATGGCCATCGTCTTCCGCGCGCTTGGTATCGTTTCGGACGAGGAAATTCTGAGCCATATTGTTTACGACCGCACCGACACACAAATGCTGGAGCTGTTGAAGCCCAGTATCGAGGAGGGTTCAGTTGTTCAAGATCGGGAGACTGCTCTGGACTTCATCGCCAAGCGTGGTGCCAACTCTGGTACCAAGGACAGACGTCTCAAGTTTGCAAGAGACATTATGCAGCGAGAGTTCTTGCCGCACATCTCTCAGAAGGAGGGCCAGGACACACGCAAGGCCTACTTCTTCGGTTACATGATTCACCGCCTTTTGCAATGTGTGTTGGGTCGTCGCGACGAGGATGATCGTGATCACTTCGGTAAGAAGCGTCTGGATCTTGCAGGACCTTTGGTCGCCAACTTGTTCCGTATCCTCTTCCTGAAGCTCACCAAGGACGTGTACAAGTACCTCCAGCGATGTGTTGAGAACAACCAGGATTTCAACGTTCAGATGGCTGTCAAGGCCAGCATCATCACAAACGGCCTGAAATACTCCCTGGCAACAGGGAACTGGGGTGACCAGAAGAAAGCCGCTTCCGCGAAAGCCGGTGTCTCCCAGGTGTTGAACCGATACACTTACGCCTCCACACTGTCCCATTTGCGTCGAACGAATACCCCTGTTGGTCGAGATGGAAAGCTCGCCAAGCCGCGACAACTCCACAACTCTCATTGGGGTCTTGTCTGCCCTGCCGAGACTCCTGAAGGACAGGCTTGTGGTCTGGTTAAGAACCTGTCTTTGATGTGCTATGTTAGTGTCGGTAGTGACGCTTCTCCCATCATCGACTTCATGACACAACGAAACATGCAACTTCTAGAAGAGTATGATCAGAACCAGAACCCCGATGCCACCAAGGTCTTCGTCAACGGTGTCTGGGTTGGTGTCCATTCCAACGCTCAACAACTTGTCACAGTTGTGCAGGAGCTGCGACGAAACGGAACTCTATCCTATGAGATGAGTCTGATTCGTGACATTCGTGACCGAGAGTTCAAGATCTTTACAGATGCTGGCCGTGTCATGAGACCACTGTTCGTTGTTGAGAACGACATTCGGAAGCCAAACCGCAACCACCTAATCTTCACCAAGGAGATCAGTAACAAGCTCAAGCAGGAGCAACAAGAGACAAGCACACGACAGGGTTGGAGCCAGGATGAAGTCGAATCAGCTACCTACGGCTGGAGAGGTCTTATTCAAGATGGTGTTGTGGAGTACCTAGACGCTGAAGAGGAGGAGACTGCCATGATAACGTTCTCCCCTGAGGATCTGGAGGAGTGGCGAGAGATGAAATTGGGCTTGCCGGCGGCTGAGCGATCCACCGAGGGTGAGCACCGTCTCCGACGCCTCAAGCCACTACCAGACCCCCGCATCCATGCCTATACTCATTGCGAGATTCATCCGGCTATGATTCTCGGTATCTGTGCCAGTATCATTCCCTTCCCCGATCACAACCAATCGCCCCGTAACACTTACCAATCTGCTATGGGTAAGCAAGCCATGGGTGTTGCGCTCACTAACTTTGCGCTACGCATGGAAACCATGATGAACGTCCTGTACTACCCCCAGAAACCATTGGCAACTACTCGATCGATGGAGTATCTCAAGTTCCGTGAGCTACCCGCTGGTCAAAACGCCATTGTCGCCATTGCTACATACGGTGGTTATAACCAGGAAGATTCCGTCATTATGAACCAGAGCAGTATCGATCGTGGACTGTTCAGGAGTTTGTTCTACCGTGCATACACTGAACAGGAGAAGCGTATTGGTGTCAACGTTCTCGAGCAATTCGAGAAGCCTACCCGTGCCGACACCCTCCGTCTTAAGGGTGGAACATACGACAAGCTCGATGACGACGGTGTTGTTGCGCCTGGTGTGCGTGTCTCTGGTGATGATATTATCATTGGAAAGACAGCGCCCATCGCAACCGATGCACAGGAGCTTGGTCAGAAAACTACTCTCCACACCAAGCGCGATGTTTCAACGCCACTCCGAAGCACTGAGAACGGTATTGTCGATCAGGTACTCTTCACCACCAACACTGAAGGCCTCCGATTCGTCAAGGTTCGTACGCGAACGACCAAGGTCCCGCAGATTGGTGACAAGTTTGCTTCTCGTCACGGTCAAAAGGGAACCATTGGTATCACCTACCGCCAGGAAGATATGCCATTCTCCAGGGAGGGACTCACTCCGGATCTAATCATCAACCCCCACGCCATTCCATCTCGTATGACAATTGCCCATTTGATCGAGTGTCTGCTCTCCAAGGTCGGTGCCATTACAGGACAAGAGGGTGACGCCACGCCTTTCACCGACATCACCGTCGACCAAGTGTCCGGTCTGCTCGAGGATGCTGGATACCAAAAGCGTGGTTTCGAGATCATGTACAACGGCCACACGGGAAAGAAGATGCGAACACAAATCTTCTTGGGACCTACATACTACCAACGTCTAAGGCATATGGTCGACGACAAGATTCACGCTCGTGCTCGTGGTCCGCTGCAAATTCTTACTCGCCAGCCTGTCGAGGGTCGTGCTAGGGACGGTGGTCTGCGTTTCGGAGAGATGGAACGTGATTGTATGATTGCTCACGGTGCCGCCGCCTTCTTGAAGGAACGTCTCTTTACCGTTTCGGATGCGTACACGGTGCACGTGTGTGATGTCTGCGGTTTGATGAGTCCTATTGCGTAAGTTCTCTTTACTCCTTTATTTCCTCATGATGGCTTGCTGACCGTGCAATCCAGACAACTCAAGAAGGGTCTCTACGAATGCCGCCCTTGCCACAACAAGACGCGCATCTCTCAGATTCATATCCCCTACGCTGCCAAACTCCTCTTCCAGGAACTCCTCGCTATGAACATTGCTACCCGCATGTTTACCGATCGCTCCGGATTGAGCGTGCGTGACTAGTCGTCTCGCGCAGATAGGATAGTCCCCGCCTTCGCGGGTGGTACTCGAAATACAGCCTCAGGGAACAATCCCCTTGGTGGTAGTCAGTCAGCCTAGATGCCCACAGTTTGCTTTGCATGGTTATGGCGTTTTGTCCCTTTTCATCGTTTGTCTTTTTTCTGGGTGGGGACAGAATGAATGAAGAGAGGAAATAAAGGCTACCGCAGAGGTTGGCCAGGCGTTGAAACCTTTTTCCGCTACTTTATCTACGATTATAATTGGCCTGATTCGGCTTTTGAAAAATGTATATCACTGAAGACAAAGGGGTCACTGGTCCGTTTTGTATATCTACGTAGCTTGGAATGAGAGCTTTGAATAGCAGTACGATTACTTGTCACAGGACTGCATGTGAAATGTGACCAGACGACAGTATGGGTGACTAGATCAGCGTGTTTTAGTCCAAGTATTTCATTCGCGTCGTCACTTGGCGGAGTGTCGTAGAGCCTATAGCTTACTCGCTCCCTCTTGCGGTACCTTGACAACGACCTTGCCCCAACTATCACGTCCACCCAGCGCCTTGAGCGCGGCAGGCACACTCTCTAGTCCTACATATTCGGTATCGGTAAAAGCAGTACCCCTGTACTTTCCTTCCTTGACAAGCTGGAAGATGCCGTCCCATACCTTGTCCTGCATTTCCGGCTCATTTATCGCATAGGCACCCCAATGCAGGCCGACGACGCTAACGTTCTTGAGCAAGATGCGGTTGGTAGCCATCTTTTCAATGTCGCCTGCTGCAAACCCAATGACCAGCAGTCTGCCGTTCCAGGCCGTGCACTTCATGGACTGAGCGATCAGACCGACAGGGTCGTATACGATATCCACGCCACGGCCCTTTGGGGTGAGCTTCTTGACTTGCTCGGGCCAGTCCTTGTCGCGGTAGGAGACGGCGTAGTCTGCGCCAAAGGAACGCGCAACGTCGAGTTTGTGCGAGGTGCCGGCTGTGGCGACGACGGTCGCGCCGAAGGCTTTGGCGATTTGCACGGCGGCTAGACCGACGCCGCCGGCTGCTGCGTGGACGAGTACCCAGTCCCCTGTCAGAGAGAAGGGAGAATGTTAGTTTCCTGTCTGCGAAGAACGGGATAGAAGCGCTGGGGAGTGGAGTGAAGTGACGTACCCTTCTTGATACCTGCTCTGACCACCAAGCCAGCGTAGCTCGTCGGCGCTGTAACGAAGACACCCGCTGCATCCTCATAACTCCATCCTTCAGGGACGCCCTTGAGCCGCTCCTCTGTGCAGACAATGTGTGTTGCGTAGCCGCCTTGTGAAGCGCCAAAGACCCTGTCGCCCTCGTTGAACTTTGGTGTCTTGCCTCCTGCGAGTGCGGTTGGCGCTTTGAGGACGACGCCAGAGAACTCTGAACCAGCTACCCAGGGGAAGGCGGGTTGGTGTTGGTATTTGCCGCGGATCTGGAGGAGGTCGAAGAAATTGGTCGCCGAAGCGTGGATGGCGATTAGGTACTCGTCGGATTTGGGCGTAGGTGTGGGCAGGTCGAGGACTTTGAGGTCTTCTGGTCCCTGGGCTGGGTTAATGGGCGGTTTGTAGGCGGGTAGATGGGACATGTACCTTGACGTATTCTTTGATCTGTATGCCTTTCATGGTGGGCTTGGATGTAAGTTGCGATGTTAAGGTAGTAGGGTCGAACAGCAACCGCTCAGTCAGGAGCTCCAAAGTTAATTCGGGTATGCAACATGGCCGTTGTAGCTTGCATGACGGCGGACAACTACTCTCCCCGAAGATACCTCGGCATGCTTCCCCAGTCGCTCTTCCCCACCCGGGAGCTTGGCTCACGCACCTTAGTAAGCGAAGCTAGTGCCATATGCACGGGCACGCGCTAGCGATGGCAGGGTACAAGGCGCGGGTCCACCTGTGACGTTCTACTGCCTTCCAATCGTATCCAAAGCTAATGACAGCCTCGACGCCTCTCTCTCTCTCCCAGTCAACACGCCTCTGCCTCTACGACACGTATCTCTTCGCTGCCCGTAGTCATAGAACCGGCAGCTCTACTTCCCCAGGTGCCCGTACAACAAACTTTGCCCATCGCTACCATTGCTACCCCACGTTCGTAAACAGCCATCATGGCCGACGACGCCGCCACAACCACCGAGGACACGCAAATCACCTTCAATGTCAAGGCTGCAAACGACCAGAAGCACGTACTCACACTGGCCAACACCACCACAGTTGCCGACCTCAAGACCAAGCTCTCAACGCCCGAATACGCAGATGTTCCCGCCGAACGCCAGCGCCTGATATACTCCGGTCGCGTACTCAAAGACCCCGACACGCTCGCTAGCGTCAAGATTAAGGACGGCCACACAGTCCACCTTGTCAAGGGTGCCGCCAGCAACGCAAGACAGAACCCCGCCAACCAAGGCACATCAAGTACAGCCAGTGGGGGCAACACCCAGACGCCACAGGTGCCGACCAACATTGCTGCCGGAACAGGCAACAACCCGCTTGCTGGCCTGACAGGTGCGCGCTATGCTGGCTTCCACGGCCTACCAGGAATGGACACTTTCGGGCCAGATGGTGGCGTAAGTACAGTCCAGCTCGCTATTCAACAGGGTCATGCTAACATGTTCGTAGATGGGCGGACCCCCTACAAACCCCGAGGCTATGCTAGAACAGATGGAGAACCCCATGTTCTTATCGCAACTCAACGAAGCTATGAATAACCCAGCGGTGGTGGATATGATGCTGCAGAGTCCTATGGTGAGTGCAGACCCTTACTCTACCCTCCTTACTCTATCTTGCTTTGGTCTAACTTGAGTAGATTCGCGACAACCCGATGCTCCAGCAAGTCCTCCGAAACCCAGAGATGCGCCGCATGATGTTCAGCCCAGAGATGATGCGTATGCAACTGCAGATGCAGCGGAATATGGGCAATAGCGGCCCCAGTTTCCCAGCCCCAGGGGCTACAGACAACACAACACAACCAGGTTCAACCGCAACAGGTGAAGGCACGACCGCGACGCCAAACCAGCCCAACACAACTGGATCTACAGACCCCTTCACTGCATTTGGTGGAGCCGGAGCTGGAGGAGCTGGAGCAAATCCATTCGCCAGTCTGTTTGCGGGAGGTCAGAATCCTTTCGCTCCTCAGCAACAAGGCGCCAACACCGGTGCGGCACCAAACACACAAGATGCTTCAGGCACCTTTCCCAACTTATTCGGCGGAGCTGGTGCACAGGGCGGACAAGCGAACCCATTCGCCGAGGCAGCTCAAAGGATGATGCAAGACCCGGAAGCTATGCGTAACATGATGCAGATGATGGGCGGAGGTGCAGGAGGTGCAGGAGCAAACCCATTCGCTGCTTTCGGTCAAGGCGCAGGAGCTCCAGGTGACGCAGCACAACCGGGCGGCGCCAACCCCTTCGCCGCACTCTTTGGTCCCGGTGGTGGATTTGGAGGAGGCTTCGGTGCGCCCGCAGCACCAGTAGACAACCGACCACCTGAAGAAATCTACGAGACCCAACTTAGGCAGCTCAACGAAATGGGCTTCTACGAATTTGACCGGAATGTCGCTGCGCTGCGACGAAGTGGCGGCAACGTCCAAGGTGCCATTGAACATCTTCTCAACGGCGGATCATAGCGTGTTTTCCCCCGAATTTTCTTACTCCCTCCAACGCCCTTGTCGGTACCCGAACCAATTGTTTTGACGCAGAATGAAATAGAAGCGATTGCGCGTTATGAAGAGGGTGAGCGAATGCGTATGGCGGAGGAAGATGTTGGTTTCGGCCTTGATGGGATAGAGGATGCCTATGATAGTGAAGAGGATTGGAGTTTTGGGTGCGAGGATGATGAGACGCTTGTTGGGGACGAAACAATGTGATGACGAGATGGATGAGGGGTGGTAATTATTCGGTTAGGAAATGGACGCGCATGGATGCGTTTGTGCTAGATACCAGTAGGCAGCTCAAAAAATAATGCCCATTTATAGATGACTCTTTGGTCTGGCAATGCAAGTTGTGAGAGATGGGGAATGAGGAAGATAATGCTAAACTACCCCCTCCACTACCTTCTTCACATACCGCACAACCCTCACCTCAAAATCATTACATCGATCAACCCATCTCGCATCCTTTGGCAATCTCAACCCTCGCAATCCCCTACTCCATCGTTTCTCCACCACCTCACCATCCCAAACCAACGCCCACTTCTCCTTCCCATCTCCCTCTTCTTCTTCACAAAACCTCCACGTCTGCGCACATTGCACCACACACTCGAGCTGCTCCTCCTTGACTTTCCACGTCTCCAGCACAAGCTCCAACGTCTCGAGACCCGGGAGTGCTCGCTCGAGATGCGAGCCCCAGGACTGTGGGTCGAGACGGGGGTGCCGATTGCGCAGACGCTCAGAGGCACGGAGGCGCATGCTTGTGTTTGAAGGGCGGCCGTCTGGGTAGGAACCAAATGTTGGGTCGAGATGGAGGTGTCCAGTGGTCGAATTGTCATCCGTAGGCGCGTTGCCCCATGTCCACCAGTCGCTGTGCGTTAGCCGTAGTGTGATGTGTCGTATAGGTTGAGCGAGCGCTACCTTGAGAGTACGAGCGCATGGGTAGATGGGATCCTGGGGGATGATCATGGAAGTGCCGTCTAGAACATCGACAAGGCGGTTAAAATCTCTCTTCTTCTTCTTTGTCAAACTGCCGCCGCCCGCTACAGGTACCAAGATACTGTTATTACTGTTTGCATACTCCAGATCTTCGCATCGCTTTCTGTCCGATGGGCGTATAGCTCTTGACGGTACGATACAACGCCCCTGGGATCGTGAAGTCGCGTTCCAATACTCATTCAGGTAATTCCTCAAAGCCCCGTTCTCCAATCCGTGCTGCGGGAGCGTAATGTCCAAGCTGCGTATTTGCGCCAACTGCCAGGTTGACAAGTTGCGCTTTTGCCTCTGGACGGATAGCTCTCCTGTGATGTAAGGGTTGATGCGTAGAGGGGTGGCGTAAGTCTCCAGGTAGATTGCCTTGCATGTGTAAAGCAGGGGGATGGCGATGTTCGAAGCGTACAAATCAATGCCAGCACGGCTTTGAGAGTATCCAGAGACGCGGTCGAATCGCGCAAAGGGATTGGGGTTTTCGGGACGAGCGCGGTCCACGGGGTATGATGTCGTGTCTGTGAGGGCGTAGTTGTAAATCATGTCTCTGATTTCGCGGGGGAGAAGGGTGAATAATGGGCTGTTGCTCTGGTCTAGGACATCTGTGGACTCGATGGACCAAGCAAGCGGCTCGTGATTTGATTTTTTGAGCGGACATGTTGGATGGATAGATTCGGCCGTGCAGAGATGGGAAGCTTCCTCGGCCTTGAGTCTTTCAGCTTCGCGTGCGGCTTCTTGGGCGGCTCTCAGTCGTGCTTGCTCCTCTGCCTGAGTACAATCGGAGCAGTTTCCACATCCGCCTCCTGCCTGCATTCTGGTCCGTGCTATATGTCCTTGCGTATCGAGTAAGAAAACTTGAAAGAGAATCAAGATGTCTTGAGGAATCAAGGAGATGGTTGCGCGTTCATATAGCATTGTGAGATGGAATAGTAAGGCGAGCCGCATGGGTCCTGTTGCCTGAAGCTAAGCCTGTTTCATCTATGTACTTCCGACATAGAAGGTGCAGCCTGTTAATTTCTTTATTTAGTATTTCTCCTCTTCTATTTAATAGTAAATAATATTACGTTTATCTATTTTTAAATAATTATTAAATAGCTACTATTTTTTATTTACTAATTTACTATCTCTCTATATATAGAAGAAAAACCTACGTACTAGTATACTAACTATACTTTTTACTATAATAGAACTAACTATAACTAAAAAATACTAAAAATTTTAAAATAGATAATTTAATTTTTAAGCTTTTTTTATACTATATTTTTTTATTAATAAATTTTTACTTAGCTAGTAATACTATAATATACTACTACTATATATAATAGCTTTATTTTAGATAGTCTTAAATATATTAAAAGTTTAATATATATATCTTAGAGTTTTTTAAGTAATATAAAAATATATAAAAAGTATATTCTAAGTAAGTTACTATAGTATATAAGCTATAGCGCTATTACGTAAGCCTATTTCTCTATAGAGCAGGATTGCTAACTAAAGCGCGCTAGCTGTAAGTAGCTTAGCGGTATTCTATCCACGCTAATGTTAGACTCTCGACCCACAAACGTAGCTATAATATCACGCTAGCCCACTAACCCCACGTCTTTCTCCGTGTACTGTATTTTATGCCAGCAGCTGTCTGTAGCCGTAAGACCTCATACGACCAATTAGGGTTTGCCACATAGCATTTTTGAGCACTTGCAAGAGTTAATGAAATCATGTCAATCTTTCCTTCCCCTCTTTCTACATCAACCCACATCTAACATCTCTCCCTCTCTTTCTATCCTCAAAAAAGGTAGCATCATCTTAATTCATGATGTATTCCCCTCCATACATATTTTTCCATAGCCGGAAAGGCTACTGTTGGAAAGAGGGAACTAACCCTGTTTTACAAAAGCTTTCTACCCTCAACGATGCACCTGATGATCTCCTCCAATCTGTCGCTATTAACGTATCGCAACCTGACGCTCTTGCGACCTGGCTCGAGACAAACAACGCTGCTTTAATCTCTGACCTTACCGTTTTTGTCGACGCGACCGACGCCGCACCTAGTCCTCAGCGATGGTGCTTACTTTTCGACAAACTTCAACGAGAGGCAACCAAAATTCAAAATCTGAGTGTCTACTGGGATTCAGAGGGTCCAATACATATTGGGCTAGGGAAAAGCGTCATTTTTATACGCGGGCTGGCACAACTTAAGGTGGAGAGATCGTTGAAGATTGGTGGGTTTTATGCCATGCACTGGCCGAGATACTTGGAAGAGAAGATGGCTTTGAAGCCAGTGAATAAAGATATCTTTCCAGGAAGTCCATGGGTAGGCATGTTGAAGACGTATCAGAGAGGGACCGAGAGCCGGAATCCTTGGGTTAACACTGAAGATGGAAAGGGGGATGTCCCGAGACGCACGGACTTCGCTGATCTCCTCAAATCTTTACATTCTTGATTTCCCCGTTCTGGCGATTCTGCTATTTCGTTTTTCCATGTAAGGTGCGTCCCTAGGTAAAGAAATACACTGTGTCCCGAGACAAATCCACGGTTCGGACACTCGGAAATGCTTCTTCTTGGAATTGTCGAGATACAGCCGACACACAATAGTTCTCTAGCTACTGTTCGTTAAGTTAGCGAACCTCCGACACAGATTCCAGTGGTGTTGGCTAGGCTATTAGCTATCTCGTTATCGTTGCTAATTAACTCTCTAGCGGCTACTCCTTGTTCATTCATGGCGTTAACGGCTCCCTAACTGTTCGGAGTGTCAAGCAGCAAGTGCGATAAAGCAAGATAACATCTTGAGGGTTTGAGAGCTCTTCGGCGCGGCAGCGTGCATGCCGGGAGCTCCGTTGTGTGAAGCAGGAGAGGCTGCTGAGATTTGTCCCCCTCCGAAGTACCGAATTGCTTTGCATCTACACAACTTAACACCAGCAAGATTTTAAATAAACTTTTAAACACTAAAAAACTTCTAGGGCCTCGCAAAGCTCCTATAAAAAATTTAAAGCTAAAGATTAGCCTGTGTTGTAGTTGAATTGCATGTTAATTAAGGTTAGTAATTAGTATTTTCAAAGAAATCGCAAACTTTAAGTCTACTTAGCTCATTCCTATCTCTGTCGAAATCTATAAAATATAAGCAAGAGGTACTCTAGTGCATGCAAAACGTATTCTAGGCTTTAAAGATAAAAATTACACATAGTGTTACAGCGAAATTGCATTATAGAGCGCAAAAGTTAACATTTTTAGTACTTTAGAGGGACAAATCTTAAAAATAGAAAGACAAATTACGCTAGCTAGTTAGACATTAGCGCGGATAGTAAACTGCTAAGCTAGTTATAGCTTTTCTATATAACTCGCAGCTAGCGCGCTTTAGTTATTAATTCTACTCTATAAAGAAATAGGCTTATATAATAGAGCTATAACTTAGAATACTATAGTACTTTACTTAGAATATACTTTTTATATATCTTTATATAGCTTAATAAAATTTTAGATATATATATTTAATTTTTAATATATTTAAAGCTATTTAAAATAAAGCTATTATATATAGTAATAGTATATTATAGTATTATTAGCTAAGTAAAAATTTATTAATAAAAAGATATAGTATAGAAAAAGCTTTAAAGTTAAGTTCTTTATTCTAAAATTTTTAACGTCTTTTAGCTATAATTAGTTTTATTATAGTAGAGAGTATAATTAGTATACTAGCACGCAGGTTTTTCTTCTATATATAGAGGGATAGTAGTAGTAACGTTATTATTTATGCAAGGTCTGTAAACTCCTAGAACTTAATGTCCTTTATTTCACTATCCACGTTGGCGTAGATGCCTAAGTTTAGTAGTTGTGGTATTGACAGGTGATGATTAGTTAAAACTGCCTAGAATGCGGTGTCGTGCGTTTTTTTTTCCTGTACGTCATCGTCAAAGCCTACATCTAGCAGCAGGGTCGCTATCGCATGAGCGATTTTGAACGTTCTATCATCAGAGTTGTGCTTGGATAGCAGCTCTCCTCACTATCGATAGAACCGACTGTATTCTCTTCTCATCTCATTGAGTACAACCATAGGGTATGATGACGTGTTTGTGAGAGCGTAATTGTAGATTACGTCGCTGATCTCCTGGGGGATAAGCCTAAATAATGGGCTATTTCTCTGGTCCAGGACGACGAATGCGCGATAGAGGAGGCGCTCGGCTCTAGTAGTAGCCTCACTACCGCCTCGTAACGTTTGGTTTTAGTTCTCTTGGATGCGGTGGAGTGCTTTCTACCCTTCATGTCGACGTTGGCGCCTGGGTGTAGCAGCAGCATCTCTACCGCAATACGAATTCTCTCTGGAGACGCCTTCGATGTAATTTCGTACATTCCACTCGGTGCGCTGTCAGAGTTGGTTTTCCTGCGAACAAGCTTTCGCACTCTCGTGTTGTATCTGGAAAATCCAATCAACTCTTCGCAGACTATTGACCTGAATGTATCTTCGAACTCCTGAAGAAGGAAGTTTATCATGTGCAATTTACTTTTCTTGTTTCTTCCAGCGGCTTCAATTACTCCCTTTGTAACACTGAATTGATTCTTACGTTCCCGAAGAAGAAGGGTCATAATATCCTGCCCGTTTCCCTCGTTTCGTGCGGCGGCTTCAATGACTCCCTCTGTAACCATGAATTCCTCTCCACGATCCCGAAGAAGAAGACTCATGATCTCCCGTCCATTTTCCTTGTTTCCAGCGGCGGCTTCAATTACATTCGTTGAGAGTGGTGCCTCGAGACACCTCCGCCTCAGGAAACGATCTACTTCGCTCACGTCTGATAGACCCGCAAGTCTTACAAAGGATGCAACGTTCTGGAAAGTAAGGTTCTCTAAAAACTCCGGCATTGTGTGGAATGAAAGATGCGATGGCCCAAATAAGAACGAAGACGTGTCCTGAATCACCTTCTGGAGGCTTTTCGTATAGTCTGGTAACAGGCTATCTGTATCCTGAAGATCTGAGGATATTCCTAGTAGGGCGTAGACTTTATCTCGTTGGTCGCTCGCTTGGCTTTCGCCGAACTTCAGCAAAAGATTGTAAAGGTCTCTGTTCTCGGTCCACCATGTGTTCTCCCGCAGGCGACCAGGCATGATGTCCAAGACCGCTTGACAATGGCGGTCTGGCTTTATGCCCATGAGCAACGGAGCTAGAGCGAAGGTATGTGCCCGAATGGACTTGGTGCCGCACGAGATCCTTGCTTTCTTCGCGTTGGCAATCTCCTGCAAGATCCAGACTCTTCTGAACCATGGTCTACTTAGGAGCAGACCCAAGCCTTTGCGGAGCTCAAAATCTGAATTCCTAGGGACTGATAACCAGAATTCAGTCCACTGTGCCAGCTTCCAATGGCTGTGCCCATACGCATACAGTGAACTGAGTTCTTCCAGTCGCTGAAGAGAACCCATAAGGTCGTCAGTCTCTCTCGTCGCTTGGCCTAACCAGACAACTACCTCTTCCGCTTGCGAATAGATCTTACACATCTGTTGAACTTGATGTCCTCGCTCTCTTTCGTTGCTTTGATCGATGCAAACAGCGTCAATCCAGATTACCCTATCGATATGTTCTGAGCGAAGATGCTGAAGCGCTAAGTATAGGTTTTCAGTAACATTAAGGGATTTCCCGTTGACTTTCACAGTAGAAGTCTTGTCAGCGCCGCCCCAGGTATATGATAAAGCCTCATATGGAATGAGTTCGGTACCATCTAGGAAGGCCTGATACAGTATACACTCGATGATCCACCCTTTACCTCTTACTAAATGTAGGAGTCGAAGTGCCGGGCGGCCGAGATCGATCGGTTCGTAGACAAAGCTGTCCATCTGTGCCGTACACTGGACTGTTTTGTCATTAGCTAAAGAGAACACGGCTAAGAGGCTTGAGGTCAGCCTACCTGGCTCTAATGGTATAGTGTTGCAGAGGTCGGTGAGGATAGTAGGAAGAGGACGTACATTAAGTCCTCAACTGGTGAAGACAAGCATTGGTTGCATTTTTTTTTTGGAGATTGTGATATGAGCTGGATAGCGTAAGGTAGAGGTAATGTGTGGAGTAGAGCTGAAGGCACGGCGCATCTAGTGTGGCAGTGCAAGGCTGAATCTGCAGGCGTCGCAGCGAAGGCGCGCTAGTACAGATCTGGAACCTTATATGGAGTTTGCTTGGCCTATTCCCTTCGTGGATGCATTGCGCTGCAATACAGTGACCTCAACTTTGAGCTGTACAAGATTTAAAAAGTATCCCAAGCGCAGGTGAATCGGAGTCTTGATCTTCGCGGATAAGGATATTAATCAGCGCGCTCTTGCTACTTTGTTGGATGTCGCGCAGCAAGAGTAAGACACAATCATGCTGAGGATGTCTGTGGTACCGTGAGCTCGGCGTCTGCACACGATATGGTAGGAATTGTTGCGCGGATAGCCTCTGGGTTTCAGTCGAACTGCGACGATTTCGTTTATGGGGCTGAACATGTAGAGATTTCCGATCCGGAGTCAGAGGAGTTGCACAGAAGAGTTCAGGTACGAGGACGATATTCTTTCTAGGGAATTTAGGGCATCTGAGTAGCCTGGGAAGCGACTGCTTCATGGTGGTGTCCTGCGAGCGATGGATGTACTCTGTAATCAGCCAGTGTACCAGACCGCCCACTGCCAAATGGGTGGTGACAATCGATATGGCAGTGAGAAGACGATAATATGCCATTAAGCCACATGATTACTATACCCCATTGCTCCATCATCATGGCACTCAAGATTCTTGCATTATCTCAGCCTCAGGCTGAAACGCTGCCTCTGCGTCAATTCTGCCTTCAGCTCCTCCATGGCCTGGTCGAGATGGCGCCGCAAATAGGCTGACAGAACGAAGCGAACGCACATGATTGGCCGAGCGATGGTGTCAGGAGGGGTAGCTTGGAATGAAGGTTTCATAGAACAGAGGGTTTTCTGTCTTGAGCTTTAGGCCAAGACTTCTCGTGAGTTATTGAAGAAACGAAGTCGACTCAGGGTGAAATGGCAGTGCTTGTACGAATTAACCAAGATTATATACCATGACGTCTCCATACACAAAGTTACATGGAAAGAGCATTAGAATATTTCATCTTAATCCCCCGAGTGAACCCTCCAGCAACATATCAGGGTCGCTTCATGAGACTTCACTACATAATCCTGCGGCCTACGATGCGCTATCATATGAGTGGGGAGCGCCAGAACCCAAATTCTCCATAGGCGTTGGAAATGGGAGCATTCAAGTGACCAAAAACTGCTATGAAGCCCTTCTTAAATTGAGACACCGCGCTCGAAAACGGATATTGTGGATCGACGCCATTTGCATTGATCAGGAAGATGAAAAGGACAAGAGCCACCAGGTCGCCATGATGGCCGATATCTATTCAAAAGCCGACAGAGTCATTGTGTGGCTCGGAGAGAGTACGCCAGAGTCCGACTACGCGCTCACTTGGTGCCAGCATGTGTCCCGAATGTCTTTCAACTGGCCCGTAGCAAAGTTCAACTACAGGCCAAACCTATTGAGAGCAAAAGAGCGGCGTCGCGTCGCTACCTGGTTCAGAGAACGCGGCACAGCCTGTAAGTTGATACGCAAATCAGAATCTTTGAGAAGTACATTCTGACGTCCGTCAGATGCTCTTCGCTTTTGCCCACGGTGGTATCCTTATAAGTCAAGATCGATGCAGGACTTGTTGAATAGAGGCTGGTTTACCAGGACCTGGACGATTCAAGAAGTTGCCCTGGCCTCCGCTCCTCTCGTAATGTGCGGCCAAAAGACAATACTGTGGGGTAACTTGATGGGCGGCTTTGACATTGCCTTTGAACACGAAAACACCGACACAGTCCGTTCTGCACGGAACGCAGCGCAGTGCATCGAAATCCTCTGGCTGTGTCTTTTACAAAAGAGCTGGGACGACAGCGACGCTCGGTTCTACGACATGGCACTGACCTTGTTTTCGTCGAGCTCGAAGAAAGAAACGCTTCGAAGACTTCGCGTGCTCAAGGAGGTTTACGTGCGTACTTTGCTAGTACTCGTTGTTGGTATGGCGGTATACCGATTCGACAGGGGTCACTGGAGGCTGGAAAACAGTGACTGGGATGCATGGATACTTGTCATTCTCATATTCTCCCTCGGATTTATAATGGCATTCCTCAACCCACCCGAAGAATTTGCCGAAGGTAGGCAACAGCTGCTTCGAAAAGCTCTGATCAACAACATCAACCTTGTCCGCCTTCGTGGCGCGGCCGACTTGCGAGACAAGGTTTTTGCATTGTATGGCGCATTCCGAGCTCTCGGTATCGCCTTAGACGACCCAGAATATGAACACAGCACCGTTGCTGACGTCTTTTTTCGTTTTGTACGACGCATCATCGAGTGGCAGAACAATCTGGATATACTAATCGAGGCTTCGTTGCTCTCGTATCCAGGAACACCTACATGGGTGCCTGATTTGAGCAGAGAGTATCACAGATGGGAAGTGCAGCGTTTCAAGGCTGCCGGAAGTTCAGCGCCTAATTTCACATATCTGGTCGGGATACTGCGAACCGCAGGACTACTTGTGGATATGGTAACTAAAACCTGGGCGGTAGAGTCCAAATGGAAATACAGCTTCCTAACAAATGAGAAGAGATATGAGGGGGTCACTTCAGGTCCTGTACAGGCTGGTGATCTGATAGTATTGATATCTGGTCTGCGGGTGCCCATGGTACTCCGCGGAGTGGGTGAAGGCTACCAAGTCATTGGAATGGCCAAGGTGAAGGGAATCATGGATGGCGAAGCTTGGGATGATGAAGTACTCAAAACTATGTTTGACTTGGCGTAGGGTGCTTCCAAACCACGATAAACGCATAATTAGTTTGCTTTTCGGTCCGAAACCCGACCGCGAAGAGCCGTCACCGTCCAAGGCCATAAGGGGTGGTGACAATCGATATGGTAGTAAGAAGACAACAATGAGCCATCGGCGGCTTTTGGAGCCCGAACATTTCATGCCAGACTGACCAGCTCCCATCTTGGATTCGCCTTCCTCCAGTCCAAAATACTGACTCTTTGTACCAGCTCTACTCTCCTCTTGACTTCGCCCCATCCCGGCACGCTCTCAACCAACAAGAGATACAGTTCCTCAGAACAATCGTCGTTTGGCTCTTGGTATCTGTCATCATAAGAGCAGAATCTCGAAAGATAGACAAGGCTATGTGTCCTACCGATGCCAGGCCAGCGTGGGTCTAAATCTACCCCAGCGATCTCGATCTCGGTGCCAGGGACAAGGAGACGAAATGTAGGACAGTCATAGCAGTTGTTCTCATCTGGATGGACCAGCACTGTAGCCACGCTAGTGTAGGAACGGATGATATGTGATAAAGGAGGCATTTCTCGTCCAGGCGCAAGGGGTGGCATCGACACGTCAATGGGCTTCATAGTTCCTGGATGGCTAGGCAAGCCCCATTCGTGGAAACGTTTGTGATATCTCTTCGCCCTTCTCGAAAGTTTAGGCTCTGTACACGATACTGCTGTAATCGTGGGGGAAGAAGCATGAGGCGCTCCGTTGTGGTCTGGATGCTCAAGCTGTACTGCTCTTAGTCGCATCACACGACTGTGTTCGTCCTCCGTATAGTAGTGCCAGTGTACATCCCATACATAGCGTCCATTGTGCTTGCCTCGAGCAACATGGTATTGTCCATCTATGACTCCCATATTGGTTTTCTTCCTCTTACAATCCGCAAAATACAAGTCGTTACCATTAGTGCACCATCCTACCCAGCTCCAGCTAGGAAATCCCTCTCGGCGAAAGCTCATCTGGCCGCCGTAGTGATACCATAACAGGCCTTGTAAAAAGTGATATTGGGGAATACCCCATATAGCACAACCATGCTCTGCCTCTACTGATCTTAGAATCCCTGCAAAGGCGGATACCACATCGGCCTTGAGGGTCATCTCCCGCCGACTGTAGTTCTGGACTAGCTGCCAGAAGTTCCAGTCTCCAAGGGCAATATAGTGGGTCTCATACGCTGTGTGATGTAGGTAACTCAACATGTAGGGTTCCCCGAAACTTGCTCTCTCTTCTAGAAGTACGGTGTCGGGATTACTTTCCGGTATTTCCATGATCGTATCCTCGAACCACGTTGCGACACCACAATAATAGAAGACCTGAGTGTCAGTGAAAACCAGGAGTCTAGCAGAAAACAGCTTCTCTTGCAGACACCAGGCGCGCCTTTCCCATGGGCAACGTTCCATGGCAACACCAAATGTCAGTTTAGAACTCAGATAATGAGCTCCATTGTATTGAAATACCGCCTGGGGAGGTCCACGAGGAAGGCTGATACCAGGAAGACCAAAATCGGCATTCTCAGCAGTGGCCACTATGGTGAGAACAGCAGATCCATAGATTTTGTCCATTGCGTCCATGTGATGTTTGACTTGTTCAGAGTTGCTTTGGTCAATGCATATTGCGTCCACCCACAGGTTCGCAATCCCTAGAGCTGCAGCAACTTCCAGTGCATCCCTGAAGGTTTTAGGAACGTTCTTCTCGGTTTGTGCCAATGCGCCGGGTGTAGTAAGCCAAGCTTCGTTGTCTTTGGATAGCACAAGACGCTTCGCATTTCCCCAGACATAACTAAGAGCCGCGTAGTCGACCTTGCCACTTGTCTTTATGACGCAACGTTGCTGGACGTCAATGACTCGGAATTCTTGTAAAGATTCGTGCGTGTTTGGACAGCATCCATAACCGTCTGCTGAGTCTTCATGTCTCGACGTACATATCTTATGCCAGCTTGCGATTAGCGATAGATCGACCATGGCGTTGACAGGCCTGCCACAGAATATATGTGAGTCGAGTTTGTCTGATGAAGCATCGTGAACGCGTGAAACTGGAAGTATGAAGGTCTTGCGTTTAAAATCAAACCAGATGTCGTCGTCTACATACAGCATTGGCCTGTAATAAGTCTTGGATACCGAGTGGTCGGGAGCTTTTGTCATGCGCTGGTGACCAATTATGCAGGTCTCAACTACAATATTACGATGGATATCAGGTTTGATCCATGGGCTTGCTACCAGAACCTGGGCCAGGAACCGGCAGCAACGACATGTCGAAGAGCCTTGCATAAGCTCGTCAATGGTCCACGTCCAACGCTGACGGGCAGGCGGCTCGCACCATCGTAGGAGCATGTCAGCGCATTGCGCACACAGAAGCTGGTAGCGGAGGCTAACGATCAATGACGACTTGGACGCCGCGGTCAAAGAAAGATCAGGCTCCATGATGTAAGTTTAGCAGCGATAGAAATGGATCCATGATCGGGGAGCGCTGTCTTATCAGCTGTCCAAATCTTGGAAACCGGTGAACGGCTGCGGTTCTATAGCAGATGGCTGAGACTCGATACGACCGCATGGCTGTGAACGAATAAAGTGTGCAGGTGAGGTGCAAGAGAGAAGTGGGGCCAACACAACATGAGGCATCACAGCGGAGAAGGCGCGCTAGTACAGAGCTAGGACCATTTCGTCAACGGGTTCCTCGCTGTTCATCAGTTTCATGAGAAGACGCGACGACTTCACCAACTCCGCTTCGCTGCATCCGATTTTCTTTTGGTCCTCTCCGTCTTGTATCGCGCGTCATGACGAGCATTGACGATCTCTTCAAAAGCGCAAACGGCTCTGCAAAGCGCAAGTTCGAGAACCCAAACGAAGCCGACCCGACGCAATCCTACAAATCCGCAAAACTCGACGCAAATGGCGACGTCAAAGGCGCAGTCCAAGCCTCGGTAGCCGATGAAGACGACGAAGACGAAGCTGGCCCCTCATTACCACCCGATTTCGAAGAAGGACCTGGCGACGATGACGAAGGTCGGTTCTTTGGGGATGGCCTGGATGAGAATGCGCGGGATGCTATGGAATACATTGATGCGCAAGACGGCGACGATGCTATACGAGAGGAAAAGTACGACGTGCCGTGGGTGCGCAAGTTGGCGCTCAACTTTGAGAAGAAGGTCAACAAGAACGCATCGCTGCGCGCAAAGTACGAAGACGACCCAACAAAGTTCATGGAGTCGGAAGGCGACCTGGACGAGGGCATAAAGGCGCTCAGCATACTATCAGAGCATCCGGAGCTATACGAGGAGTTTGCGAAAAGCACCGCGGCGTCCAAGTTGGTGGAACTATTGGCGCATGAGAACACCGACATTGCAATCGCAGCAATTGAGATGATATCCGAGCTCACAGATGAAGACGTTGGAGGAGAGCAAGAACAGTGGGACGCACTCGTCACCGCATTCATGGACGCCGACCTACTCAGTCTACTCATATCCAACTTCTCCCGCTTCGACGAAAGCGATGAGGCCGACGCATCGGGTGTCTACAACTCCCTCAGTGTCATCGAGAACCTACTATCACAACCCACATACACCGACATAATAGGACGGGAAACTGCTCTACTAAAATGGCTATTAGACAGGGTACGAAAGTCTGAGAAACCAACCACCCAGAACAAACAATACGCCTCCGAAGTCCTCTCCATCCTCACCCAATCCTCGCGACCGAACCGGAACCACGTAGCCGACGCAAACGGCGTCGAAATCTTCCTCACAAACCTCGCGCCGTACCGAAGAGACGACCCAGAGAAGGACAGTAACGAGGAGGAGTACATGGAGAACCTGTTCAACTGCCTATCCTCTATAACAGAAGAACCCCTAGGAAAAGCCAAATTTCTAGAGGCAGAAGGTGTGGAACTCTGTCTCCTCTTTGTTCGAGACGGCAAGACGAGCAAGAGCCGTGCCTTGAAGGTATTAGACCACGCTTGCGGCTACGCAGAAGAAAGCACTGTACCACAAACAAACGGCACTTCAAAAGGCAAGGAACCAGTACAAGAAACCACACTCAACAGCGCCACAGCCGTCTGCACCAAACTCATCGACTCGCGCGGTCTCAAACCCCTCTTCAGCACATTCTCCAAAACAAACAACACGAAAAAATCTCACAACGATCCCCAACAAACCGAACACATCCTCGGTATCTTCGCCTCCCTCCTGCGCTCTCTACCCGGTAACTCAGACACCCGTTTCCGCCTACTCGCCAAATTCCTCGAAAAGGACTACGAAAAGATTACAAAACTAGCCTCCCTACGCAGAGACTACGTCACCCGTCTCTCCGCCTTTGACCAACGGTTAGCCGAGAAGCGAAAAGCGCTCAGGCCACGAAGTAAAGAGGACCTGGAGAGCTTCGAGCTAGAGAATATTCCTGAACGGCTGAGCGAGGGCTTGTATTGTCTGGAGAGGATCGATGCCGTGCTGGCTTGGTTGGTGGCCGAGGATGGCGGCGCGAAAGTGGCGATTGAGAAGGCGTTGGGGGAGCGGGATGAAGGGCTGGGCGATGTCAAGAGGACGTTGCAGGCGCAGCTTGATGGCGTTTTGGCTGTTGAGCCGGCTGAGAGGGACATGTTGGAGACGCTGGTGGGGTTCTTGTAAATAACGTATACATGGGGGCTTTACGCAACGGATTTCTGTATTGATTCGTGCAAGCGAACATGTATGAAATATGTATGCTGGTATTGATATATGACTTTTTTCCCACCCCTTTGGAAATAACAGCACTCGCCTATATGCAGATGCTCGAAGACACCATTGAAGTAGTATATAAATGCGTCAACCCCACCATGCTTTTCATCTCATCATGCAATGCACACGCCCACGTATTCAAGCATCTCCAACAGAATGCACCATCTTAATTCCTTCCCCTTCTCTAACCCTCGGCTTCAATCTCATACGCATTCGACTTGTGCTTAGGCTCAAATTTGAAGTTGGGATGCGCAGGACCCAAGAACATCTCACTACATCCCCACGTTAGTCAAACCATTTCAACACAAAGTAACAAAAAAAAACACCAAACATACCTGAGCTTAATCCAATCCTTGTAATGCTCACTAGCCATCAAAGTCTCCAAATCGTTTCTTCCCCTAAACCTCGGCGGGCGATCCTGGATATTAGGAGGTAAATGTTCCAGCAAGCCCACGGGCACATAGCGATGCGCGAAGCTAAGCCACTCGAGCAAGAAACGGCGCGTCGTACCAATACCCATCTCGTCGGAACCCCAAGTCTGCAGACCGTACTTGGTAAACTTTTCAATATAAGACAGGCGTTCCGAGGCAGACTTGTCAAGGTACTGGCCCTTTTCAATCTCCTCAAAGAGCCAGGGCTTGATGAGCGCGCCGCGGCCCACCATGACGGTGTCGACGCCGGCGTTGTCGAGATGGTTGTAGTAATCTTCGTGGGAGTAGCAGTCGCCGTTGCCGACAAAGTAGACGTGGCCGCCATTGGCGAGGTCACGGGGATCAGCTTCAGCGACGGTGTCTGTCCGGTCGGCCTGTTCTTTGCGCAGGCGGTTGATGAGGGCGGAGCATTCGGCAATGTAGGACCAATCTGCGCTGCGCGAGTAACGCTGTTGCTTGCTTCGGCCGTGCAGCGTAATGGCTGCGATGCCTGAGGTGCCCTTTCCGGATTCTACGGCCTCGTGACCGCCGAGGACGAGGCGCTTGATGAGCTTTTGGGCGGTGGGGTGGTTGTCCTTGGTGCCCATGCGGATCTTGACTGTGATGGGGACTTCCTTGGAGACATAGGTCATGCCGCGGAGGATGTGCTCTAGCTTTGCTTCGCTGTCAAGGAGAGCGGAACCACTTCCCTTCTCACAGACGAGGTTGATGGGACATCCGCAGTTGAGATCGATGGCGCGCAACTTGGGGCAATATTCGGTCAATACCTCGACCGTCTTGGTAGCTAGCCATGGCTTGTTCGCAGCAATCTGTGCACCAAACTTCATATCAGTGGAGTTGTCGTAGCCCTGGACCACAGTGTTCTTGCCCAGGAATTTCGGAGGAGTTATTTCGGATTCATGGGCTTTGAGAAGTGGCCATTCACCCTTGTCGCCTTGGATGAGCGGCATACCCATGGCCATCTCGCTCCAAGTCACTTGGCAGCCAAAGTCCACGCAGAGTCGACGGTACGGCATATTGCCCTGGGTGGTGAGAGGGGCGAGCATAGGCGTCTCAGGTCCATAGTAGAGCCTGCGCTTCTCCGACGGTCTGAAGGGTGCTTCGACGTACTCTGCCCTACGTGCCTCTTTTTCTTCCTTGAGAATCTCCATATTCATCTGAGCTGCATCGAACATCTCCCTCTCGTTGCGGTGGTTTTTCTCGATCCATTCAATGTACTGGTCAGCCCGCGGAGTGCCAATTTTCCGTCTTGACAAGCCAATCTTGACATCCTTTGGCACAATGTTGACCACCTCAGCCTCTGCTTCCTCATCGAAGCTGGAGAACTTGGCTTTGCGCTCGGGATCTTCCTTTAGAACCAACTCCTGCCTGCCATCTTCTGTAGTGCGCTCCTCGGAATGGCTGCCGACGAATCGACACTTCCAGCCAAAGTGACAGAATCCCTTGACGGCATAGACCGGACATTGACCATCGAAAGTGGTGAGATCTTCCCGTCGGCCTTCCTTTAGGTACTTGCGGATGTCATGTTCAAATTTGCACTTTTCGCCAAATGGACACTCCTTTGGCGAGAATTCGTTGTACACTGCACGAGTACCGCAGAGTGGTAACTTGTCGCGTGAGCTGCCGAATGTGCGACTGGTGTTTTGGCCTTTTTGCTTTTTGTCTTTCTTGCTGTTCTTGCCGTTTCTGGGGCCATCGCGGGCATCCGTCTTGGGCAGGCCTTCAGATTTGTGCTCTGCATCGGCGCCCTCGGCTGCATCGTCGTCGATGACCTTGTCCTTTGTATCGGCCTTGTTGTTGTCCAGGCGTATCAGAAACCTGGTGTTCTTAGCACGTGAGTGATTCAGGTTGGTGGTGTAGTGTACTCTGCCTTGATGGGCGCAACACCCTTGACTCGCTTCACAGAAGTGTCAGCATCCTCAATGTCTTGGCTATTGGTCCTGTTCCTCTTCTTTGGGCTCGCAGGTGGTTCGGATTCCACATTCACGGTACCGTTGCCAGCATTCACGCCATTAGTGGCGGCACCGTCCGGGGCGGGATGGGCGGGCGCAACCTTCCAGGTCTCTTCACCTGTCGTCATTTTATGCAAGCTTCAAAACCAGGCTTGCAGTACGCGTGTGTTGTTGGCGTTGCTGCTCAAAAGAGAAAAGCACTCGCTCAAATTGTGAGAGCAAATGCGGCTAGAAGAGGCTAGACCGGCGGCCCATGCGCTAGTGAGCAAGTTGGGAAAGCTGCGATCATACGTCACAGCTAGGCACTGGCGGCTGGCGGCTCCCCTACATCACATCGCGTTTCCGTTCCCACTTTCACATCAACACTCCTGCAATCCCCTCAGATCCTCCGCACCACTCTCGTCTCCCTGCTGGCTGTTGCACGTATTCGCACACCAGCTCTCCCAGATCCATTGTTGGACCAGCTGAACCCCGCCCACACAAACACAATAATACCACGTAGCCAACATGACGCTCTACTACAGCCTGGTAAGCTTCAACGTCTCCTATAGCCACTGCTCGTGTGCTAACTAAATCAGGTCTTCCTGCTCCTGGTGACAGAGATGCTCATCTTCTGCGCCCTTATCGTCCCTCTTCCCTTCACATGGCGCCGCAAGCTCTTCACCTTCATCTCGGAGAGCCCCATAATAGCAAAACTGCAATATGGCATGAAGATTACCTTCATCTTCATCCTGATTCTGTTCATCGACAGCGTCAACCGCGTCTACCGCGTGCAGATTGAGCTTTCTGGCTCAGACGACCAGGGCCGCGGAGGGTAAGTCGACATGCCCCACGTACAATATGTAATGCTGACTACCCAAGAAGCGTCGCCGCTGGAGGCATCGAGCGTATGGAGGTCCAGGCTCGCAAGTTCTACTCGCAGCGCAACATGTACCTTTGCGGCTTCACCCTCTTCCTGTCGCTCATCCTCAACCGCACCTACGTCATGATCCTCGATGTTCTCCGTCTCGAGGAGGAGGTCAAGAGCCTGAAGGGCGACCCCAGCACCAAGAAGGGCTCTTCCCTGAAGGATGTTGGCGGTGCCGGCGAGGTTGGAGCTCTCAAGAAGGAGCTTGAAGCCAAAGACCGCGACATGGCGAACCTGAAGAAGCAGGTCGAGAACATGCAGAAGGAATACAACCGCATGGGCGACCAGGTCTCTGGCAAGCAGTAGATGCACATGGTAGCTTCGAATGGACACGGATGCAGCCGGCGCTGGCTTCCCAAAGTCCAGGAGAGGTTTTCACTACGATTATACCTTCAAATTTGAAGCTTCAAGGGCCCTGTGCCGGTGGACACCAACCGTGCACACGATTATATCGTCTTTGTTCTCAGGGTGTAAGGGGGTTTAGGAGGAAAGAGAGTTGAAGCTTTCACAAAGCTTCCGCATTTGGCTCTGTAGCAGCAATGAATAGCAAACATATTTTGAATACATTGAGTCTTCTGTTTCAGGTCTTGTTCGGAAAGCTTCTTTTCTGGTCGCGTGCGACGGGGCCGACGGATGTCTTGGAGCTTGCGACCGGGACTCCCGCAATGACGAAACAGAGCGACTAGCACATGTGAAAGCTAGCGCAATGCTTCAGCTATCTGTCCCGAGGCATACCAATTGCCAGAATAAAGACAGCGAAGAAGTACACAAGTGCTGCCCAAACTAACTAGCAAGCCAATTGCACATCCTTCCAGCTCTCCTTGCCATTGGTCCTGTGAAGCCATAGCCAAGATGTCGGGAAGCAATCAGACGCCCCCGCGCTTCTTCAACTATCCCACCCCCAAACCTCACGACGCGCCATACAAGGCACCACCTCCAGGAAAGAACCCTGTAGTCAAGGGAGCTTTACTGCACTATCTTTCCAATGTGTGAGCCATCCGAGTCTCTTCGACTCCACACAAAGCTAATCGACTCAGCGTCGCGACTGTACCGGTGGTCCCTGGCATCCTCTGGAGCAATGCCGGCTTCAGCTCCTTGCGGGAATGCAGACAGCTCGACGGAATCGACCCGCGCTACGACCCCACCGTGATACCGGTGGCCGACTCGAACGAAGCTCCCACCAGCTATACAGATAGATCCAGCTTGCGCGAATCGTTCAACCACGCCTCGTCGAGCCGATTCCACTCCGTCAAGGACTTCCACGACGCATACTCGAGCGGCGCACTTACGCCCACCGATGTTATTGAGCACCTTCTTCCTCTCATTCGCAGAGATGTCGCACAGCGTTCGCCTTACTCGACAGCCTTCATGGACAGCAAGGTGGACATGGTCAGACAAGCCGCCGAAGCCTCCACGCAACGATACAAGCAAGGAAAGCCATTGGGCATACTAGACGGCGTTCCCTTTGGTGTCAAGGACGATCTCAAGGTCAAGGGGTACAAGCACTACATTGGCACCACCCACGACTACAGCAACGGTGGGAACAAGGACACGAGCTGGTGCGCAAAGATGGTAGAGAAAGAAGGTGCTATCCTGGTCGGAACGCTGACCATGCACGAACTGGGCATGGGTGAGCGCAAGTGTCTACGGCCCTTGGTACAAAGCTAACTATGAAAGATACCACAAACAACAACCCGAACTGGGGTACACCAATCAATCCATACAACAGCTCATACTACCCGGGCGGCTCTTCAGGCGGCGCTGCATCTGCCGTAGGACACGGCCTCATACCTTTTGCCATTGGATCTGATGGCGGTGGTTCAGTCAGAATCCCCAGCAACTACTGCGGTTTGTACGGTTTGAAGCCGTCCCACTCCCGCGTTTCAATCGCCCCAATGCCAGATGCTGGGAAATCCGTCACTGTCCGAGGGCCTCTCGCAAGTAACATGTCAGATCTGGAGATTGCATACCGGGTACTCGCCCAGCCCAACCCATCATCCTACCCCTCGTCGCTATTCAGTCCACCCAGAAAGCACACGGGCCCCCGAAACAAAGTGCTAGGTGTATACAAAGCGTGGGTCGACCGCGCTGACCCTTCTGTACAAGAAGCCTTCCACTCAGCCCTACGGTACTTTGAATCACAACTAGGCTACCAAATCATCGACATCAGCATCCCACTCCTCACAGAAGGCCAACTAGCCCACGCAATGACCATCATGGCCGAAGGCGCCGCCGGCCACAAAACTTCCATCTACGACCTCACACCACCCAACCGCATCCTAATGAGCGTTGCGCGCCAGAGTCCCGCCACAGACTTTTTGCTCGCCCAGCGCCTGCGCAACGTGCTCATGGAACACCTCGCTTCCCTCTTCAAACAGCACCCCGGTCTCATTGTCGTCACGCCCACGACACCCAATGCAGGCTGGCCCATTGATCCCGCGGAACTGTCTCATGGCGTTACCAATGGCAACATGCAGATTAGGAATATGGAGTATGTTTGGTTGGCGAATTTTACGGGCATCCCGTGTATACAGTTTCCGGTGGGGTATGTGGAGGGGTGCAAGGGCGAGGGGAAGATTCCGGTGGGGCTGAGTGGCAATGGGGAGTGGGGGAGTGAGGATTTGTTGGTTGAGTTTGGGTTTGACGGGGAGAGGTATGTGCAGGAAGGGTTGGAGGGCGGGAGAGTCATGCCGCGCGGGTGGGTGGATATTCTGAAGAGGTAGGCGATGCGGATACTATGGGGGCCGTGACTAAGCTACCATGTGAACGCTTGCTGTTTGTGTTTCTTTCTCTGCTGCGTTGTGTTGGACTCTGCTATCTTATGATTCCAATTCTGTCATCTTGACACATGGTCGTGTATAACCGTATACACGGTGAATAGGCAGAGCACAGAGAAAGAATCTGAACTACGAAGCACACTGTACACCCATCTCCGAACCTCAATGTCAGCAAAAAAATAAAAAATAAAATAAAATAAAAAAGGGCGATTTATATCCTTCAGATGTGGAATGATATCCTCATTGCAAGAACTAAGAAAACATACTCAAGAGAGAGAGAGAGAGACCGAAACGTAGACATGTAAGCACACTGATCAATTCCGACGGACCCAAGTAGACGGGATTTATAGGGAACCCACTCCAACCCATCAACTAAGCCAACAAATATATCAGCCTCCACATATTTCTATTTGTGAACGTTACGCAGCCAACTATCACAGAGGTTTCGAGAGCAAGGACTGACGGTGTACTTGAAGGTCGGCCTGCGGAAAGCTGCCCATCCTGCGAAGAACCAGCTAGGCGCGGACACCGTTGTACTTGCAGTGCAGCAACCGACTATCCTGCTGCTATGCTGGCCTCTGCATGCGGAGAAGCGAGCACCGGTGCGGGCACAAAAAAGCCCCTTACCAGCAGCAGCTCGATGGTTTTCTGTCTTCCACATAAGAGTGGGAAGAACTACGAGGGACGAATATATAATGGCAGTCATGTTTACGTTACCGTGCTGACGCTTTTACCATGTTCGATCAACGATAAGTGACCATGGTCAAGCAGTAAGTTGAGCCGGTGAGCACCTCGCAAGCAAATTGTGCTGGCTGGGAATGCTTTACTGAAAAAAGAAAAGCGTTTCAGTTGAGTTGGAACCTGCAGATGGGACGTTGTAGAGGTGAGTGTTACTCTCTGCCGTGTGACCGTTAGACCGCGCTACATGCCACGATGATGACAATAAGCTTTCAGATCACGATCAAGTGAGATAGACGCCTCCATGATAGAAAGCACAAGCGCATTCGACATCGACATGACATCGTGATGAAGAAGGCCGACCGCCAGTCTCTACTTTATAGCGTGCTAATGAAGATTGTTGATCAGTGGTGATCGATAAGGAAAAATTCTGCTACATTCTGTATCAGGAGCCTGCGCGTCAGCGCCTGAGTTGCCTTGTTTAGTCCCCGATGTTCCGATACAGGTCTGACACGTTCGGCCACGGAAGCAACTAACGATGATGGACAAAGATATATGCCAGAGATGGTTATGGCCGTAAGATGATCCGGGGAATCCCCAGCAGAATGGTCTCACTAAGCCAGGTTGTGTTGTCTATCATTTATGGTGGAAGTGCCACATCCGGAGATTGGGTGGGGTTAGGTGAATGTCAATCGATAGCGACAATGCTGCTGGTGGGATACATATGTCTGAGCTTGAGCATCCGGTAACATATCGTGGAGATTTTATCGCTGGACACGTGTATGTATCTTGGGATCGATGTTAGTTCGCAATATGGCAGTCTTGGCGGTAGATGTCTCCTGTCCTGTAAACCGTTAGGTTGCGAATGTCTCCGATGCAGACCATACTTGTTTGCTACACAGAAGCAACGAGTTATTTCTGTACAGTGGGAACTATTGTTTCATCTCTCAGTATGCCGCAGACCATGTCATTGGCTATATATCGTACGTTATAGGGACGCGTGGTTGTCGGTATTGCCGTTGCCGGCGATTCTGTCGGTGCCTTACTTCCAACTCTTCAAGCCTCGTGATACGATGCCATGCGATTTTGCTGACTTACATCATCACATCCCAGCAGCGGGACTCTGCAACACAAAACGCCGCGCTGTCTCCGAATGCAGCCCTACCGGACATGTAGGCCGCAGGTCCACAGTTGCTTGCACGTCGGCGCAACGGCGGCACGTTTTGACTTGGTTCGGCAGCGTTTGATTACTGGGTTCGGCAATGTCCCAAGATCGCAGTGTCGTGATTGATGTCGCCTTGTTGTGAAATCAGAGAAGGGGGTGTCGGGCCGATATAGGTGTATTGGTTGCGTGTACCAGGTGGACCCTTGCCAGCAAGCTCATGACTCAGGTACCATCTGCTGGAGAACCACCGAAGAACGAAAAGTGGAAACCTCACAGATGAATGCCGGACCAGCGATGATGCAAAGACAACGGGAAGGGTGCTAGCAGCATGCAAATTGATTCATCGAGTGCGTTAAGCGAGCTGCGATGAGCCTATCTTGTCGACTTGGAGTGTTGGAGTGTTGGAGAAGCGACGTTGGAGTCGAAAGTATGCTGGCACATGTCGGGTGACGTGGGCAGAAGTCACTCAAGTCAAGGTCAACTTAGCAAAGGTTCCGAAGTATCGACGTGATGCAGTCACATCCCTTGTGAATCATTTGAGATGTTAATTGTCATAGTCTTGTAGGAACATGCGATGGCCGCTCTCATGTCGCAGACCATGTGCGTCGCCTTGAAACCCCGTGCTGATCGTTGTCGACTGGAAACGGCAATGGTACGCTGGCGAGGTATGTAGACGCGTGGTAGAGACATGGTAGGGACATACTGCGCGACGCCGGACCGAATAAAGCAATGATAGTATAGCTGCAAGGCCGGCTGGTGCCGGTCCTACTCGAATACCCGCGGAAAAATGACAATCGTTCCTCTGTCTTCCCCTAAGCAGCCGTGTTCCCGAACGATCGTCACGAAGCAGAACAGCGGTGACCTATTTCGACGCTTCAGAATGGCTACTTGAGCACGAGTTGCAACCTAGCGAGATGCGGATCGTACCGGCGAGGTGGAGCTATGAGTGCTGAAACGACTTATTGATAATGGGGAAACGGTACGCCAGTCAGACGAGTGTGTTTTCTCACGTTGGAACACTGGACGTCATGATCCTGGAGATCGCCATTGTCCAATGCAGGAGAACTAGGGATTGGACAAAGTGCGACAGTGTTGCGGCGGAGACGGGAATTGTTCCATCCATTCACGAGCAAACCACCGCTGTCATCTTGCACGAAAAGAAGCTCTTGGCCCGGAGAGCAAAGGTCGAATAGAAGCACCGTGAGCGGTTGCGCAGTGTCTAGGGTGACGTGCTGATCAAACCAGAATTTCGTCATTGGTCATGGCACGGTGCGGAGTCAAGCGCGCACGAGATCTCAGGGTCCCCGGTGCTGACACGATTGAGAGTGAGCGACTGGAGCCCTGCAAAAAAAAAAAGAGGCGCATCGAGGCGGCCCTCACGACATGTCGTGAGTGTGCAACAAGTTTGGCGCTGTGCATGCTGGTGGTGCCAACGGGCGTGGATTGGTTCGCAACGGCAATGTACGAATACCATGGGAGCGAAAGTGGCAGGCCAGCGCCGCCGCCGCAGGGTCCTCTTAGCCGATCTTATATATTTCTGGCTCGCATGCTCGACGAAACGGAATGCAGACAAAGAGGGATCAGCGACCAAGCCCAACATGAGCGGCTGGTGATGTGCGCATGGACAGCATGACCCGCAATCTGTCGGTCTGTAACGCGTTGACCTGTACGCTATTATTGCCTGCTGTGCTGGACGGCGAGGGGCGGTGGGTCGGGGGCGAATATTATTAAGAGTGTTGTGTGTTGTGAAATGAGGAGTGGTGTGGGTGCAGGAGGGGGGAAAATTGAGGTTGTGAGAGAGGACTGCGCGAGGCCGTTGGATGATGCAGGCACCATCATGGCGACTTCCTTCTCACGTCGTCGGGGGCGAGGGGGGCACGCCATTGGTGGTTGACGGAACCCACGGCAGTGTTCAGTGATGTCAGCCGCCCGCCTCGAGGAGCCGTGCTCGTTGTGCGGTAGGACGTGGCAGAATGGGGCAATTGATCAGCTCTCCCATGTCTCACAGCTGCTGGCGACGTCATGCACCGCTTTCAGCCTTCTCACGCCTCTACCTCGCCGGGGCGCTGCAATCGCAACAGCTCCTCTTCACAACCCACGCACTTGTCTGATTCACGGCATACACACGGTCCAGCTTGCCCTTGCACTTTACGGGATACATTCGCCAACGCGCCCCAGTTTCCTTGGGCGAATTCCTGGCAATAGCTGTTCGGCCATCGCAGCGCTAATTGACCGCTTCTAATCATCCGCGCCTCTGGTGGGTGCTCTGCCCTTGCCGATCAACTCAAAGCTCCAACTCAAAGCTCCCACAAAGCTTGGGTGCAAGCGTGAGAAAAGACGGCAGCAAAAGGTGGTCTTGTCGAGAGTCATTCGAGGGCGCTATCCAACTACTTTGCCGCCGCCACCCCGAGCATATCTGCTAGGCGTCAGAGTTCTGACCTTCCTCTACGCATTCCACGCTACACGGGCAGGGATCCTCGTCTCGGGAGACCCTGAAGCATCATCTGGCTTAGCGCAGACAGGGGCCCACCCACTCTAACATCCTTCCACATCAACCGTGTGGCTTTATCTTGGCCTGAACCCACCTACGGCATACTCTTGCCGACGCTCGCCCACCTGGCTCCATCCCTAAACCTACACTCTGAGAGCCGCACTATACTGTCTCGTGCAATGAACCCGCAGATTCTCATCACCCCCCATCCGTCTACTTCTACGCAAGACGACCGCCGCCAGTCCTACCCCGACGACATGTCGACTTCCTCATCCAACTCTTCCATCAGCGACACGGAGATGAAAAACGACCCCACACTACAGACCAGGCCCCGTCTAGGGAGCAGGAAATCCAGCGGCACCATCATAATACCCCGCGACAGCCCCAATGTTGAGATGAAGGAGGAGGAGGAGGAGTACGATGATGGTGATGCGCGGACCATGAGCCCTCGCCGGAGTAGCGAAGAAATCGAGAAGATGGGCCAGGATGCTCGGCAAGCTCTGATAGAGTAAGTGACTCAACCCTGCACCACCACCACCACGCACGACGTGTCGACGCTGCGAAGACCATCGGCCAACCTCGCTGTTGCTGCTGTCGTTTTCGTCGTCATCGCGTCGCTCGTTGCGCCATGGCTTTTTGGTTACTCTTTTGTCGTTTGTGTTTCGCGTTTTGACTTATTGTCCCAGTCCTTATCAAGCTAACCGTTTTGCTAGACAAGCCAAAGCTCTCCAAGCCAGCCTGATGCAGATTGTTGATCGCGTCGAGGTTGTCAAGAACGAGCATGAAAAGCTCGAAGGCGGCAACAAGTTCCTGCAATCGTACGTTCCTCAGCCATCTGCTTCGCAACACCTGTGACTAACACCGGGCAGATATATTGGCGAGCTCATGCAAACGAGCAAGCTCACCTCTGCGGGCGCTGGAAAAGCGTCCAAAGTCAAGGGCAAGGGCAGAATTATCAAATAACAATCAGTGCTCGTGCTCATCCCTACCGGCGCAGTGAGCTTACACCAAGTCGGTATTCCACCCAGGCCCCGACTTATCATGGACGCCACTCGTCTCTCGAACCCTCACTACCACGCAATCATGATGGTCTACTGCCTCACATACTGACCACCATGACATCCTTCCAACACGAACACGTACGCACGTTGAAACCGCGTTTATGAGCATCTGCATAGCGGCACAGGATTGGGACCCGGCGTTCGTCATTACACTTCGATTCAGCAAACAGCTTCTGTCTTACCACCCTTTCGACAACCATATGAGCTCGGCTTGGCTCAGCTCAGTGTTGTCGCAGCTCCATTTTGCGAATATACCACGGCACATTGCGCCCTCGACCATTGGTTCTTTTACAACAACTTTTGCACTTTTACCCGATTAGTTCACGGGGTCATGGCCACTACGGTGTTACGGGAGTTTTTCTTTTCTTTGCAATTCGATTCTATGCCATGGCAGGATTCTGTTCGGTACCCAACCTCGTTCGTTTTTTTCTCGGTACAGATACAAGATTTGACGGAAGCTTTGACTTGCATGTCTTCCAGCCTATAGCTGAAGTATCGGGGCCTTTGTGTCGATACTCGGCGCTATGTAAGGCTTTGTTTTATTTGACGGAGAAAATTAGAAGTAGCATAGCTTGCATGAGCGAATGAGCATGTTTTCGCGACTGCACACAAGGAGCACAGAACGAAGCACAAACTGGTCAATCATGTTTGGTCCTTGCTTGTTTCCCGCCGCCCAATATGTCCATCGTGATGATGCCAATTCACGATACAGATTACAGCTCCATGACTGCATGTGTGTCAGTGCATGTCTGCCCAATCTAGCATTGAAACAGGCAGGACCCTGCATGCCCATGCCAGATACGGTGACCAGATGACCCGTCCAACAGGCTCCAACGACGGAACACGCGCAAGGCTGCCGTGTGGCAGATGCAAGAAAAACTGTTTTGTCAGGACCCGCACCGAGAATGCCCCTCTTCGGTACGTACCATGCTCGCAACAGCAAAGCACGCAAGACAAGGAAGCGTGACAGCCGTCGCACTAAGAAAACCACGCAAACCAGTTGACACAACGCCCGCCCGCTACGTTACGCCCGCCCCTTTGGATCTCGGACGTGCTTGTCTCCGCTCCTTGTCCTCTCTGTCGATTGCACGAGTGCCGACAATCAACCTTGTCTCATCACATCAACTTGTGGCGACTCATGAACAAGTCATATTTTATTTTTTGCACTTGATGACTGTGGCCACCTTAGTGCATTCGGCGACACGATACAGTATACACGCAAAAGCCCCTAGTGTGCACTTTGCGAGGTTCCGACGTGTCAAACATCTCATGTGCCCCGGTGCCCACCGTGTGCCAAGATCACTCACTAGACTAACCCTTCGTACAGCAACACTACCGGCTCGTAGCTGCTCGTAGTCTTGCAGCCCGGGGCATCGGTAATGCAGGTTCATGATGCACCTGTACATATGCGCAGACATGCCACATGCCATCTCCACTTTCCTTTCCGTGCGAGTTCTGACCATGTGTGGCACACAACTTTGCCGACTTGTTACCGGCCGGAGGAAGCTAGGTGGAGAGGACCTGGAAATAAGGATTCTCACCTTGTATACAGAACTTTGCTGAACTCGGCTCTTGGTCCGCTCTCTCTCGCGTCTCTGATTGGAGCGGAGACACTTGGGTGGAGGGAAGGTTCAAAATGGGAGATTAAAGATATCGGAAAGTAATGATTCGTGGGGGCGAAATTGGCCGCGCTTGGGAGGAAGGAGAGAGAGGGGTTCCGCGAGATTGAGTTGTAGGAAGCGACGTTAGTGTTGGGTATTACGATTGACAAGCTCCTGGATGAGCTGAAGCCAAATATAGGCCATCGCGCTCAATGGATGTACACGGTAACAGTGCGCGGTTGTTCAGCTTCTGTACCAGTGCGGTGAGTGGGAGATAGGAGACGATCTTCATCACCCCACAAGCATGACTTCTTCAAGTCTGCTCGGTCTTCTACTAACTCTTAGACATTACAATAATAAAGAACACGTACACACCGACTCCTGTATGCGTACGCTTCATGAATTCGGCATGTAGCCTGGAAATCCTGATACGGAGAACATGGAGAATACCTTGACATGGTCAAATATTGGGTTTCACTCTCATCTAGCATCCCCGCTTCACGTTCAAGACGTCAAGCCTCGTCGATGCCTGAACCATGCAATCACACCAAAGCAAAGAGTCCGGATATAACTACTTGTAGTCGTTGCAAACCTTATCTCCGCAATGGGCGTACGTCTCTGTCATTACTCTGTCTACTCAAAGCATGGTGGTTTCAATCTCGCATGGGGGTTTCAGGTTCGCGTGGTAAGCGTGCAGCACAACCAACCTAGCCAGAGTATGTACTCTCGCTCATCGAGCTTTGAAGTGAGGCGGAACGCGAAACACTCATGTAGGCGACAGCGTCAAGGATACCGTGTTGGACAGCCCTCGGCATTGCGTCACTGCCAACTCCAACGCCTGGCCCAAGCTCAAGCTGTTTTCCTGACAAAACTGATCGCGACGACTCCCGTGTAGCGACAGACGACGCGTAGTGAAGCGGTGACTTGTCTTGCAGCAGGCCAATCGTTCCTGATCGTTTTCATCTAGATCGAGATCGCGTCGCAGAGTAGGAGCTCGTAGCTACCCCACCATGCACGGCATTCTCGAGCTCTCGCTGCAGCTCCTCAACTCGTTTAGTCCGGCCAATCTTGGTACGCGCGCCTCAATTATCAGCCACTTTGCTTCGTTTTAGCTTCGAGCAACACTTACTGATTGCGAATAGGTCAATCTGGAGCCCAGGTGCCCCTTCAAGGCGAACACAGCACAGCCACACCAACAACAAAGTCGTCCGGGATTCCGGACTATTTTGTAACAGATGACGGACATTTCCAAGGCCCCACCCAAACTGGCGCTGCGCCGTTCCTTGCACAGACAAATCTAGCACCTTTTGCTGGTGTGTCGTACATACCCAATACGCCTCTGGAAACCCAGATCCCCATTGCTGGTAATGCGGACAACAAGAACATCTTCCAGAGCCTAGCAAATATCAGCCCTTACTTCCCTAATCCGAGAGGTTTCGGCGTGAACGAATACTCGATACCGCCTGGCACCAACGTAACATGGCTGAACATGGTTCATCGCCATGGGAGTCGGTATCCCGAGGTTAGTGGTGAAGCGGCAGAGAGGACTCTAGGAAAGAAGCTTTCAGATGCTGCCGGCAAGTTCACTGGCCATGGGCCCCTCTCTTTTCTCAACGATTGGAAGTTCCTGCTCGGCGCCGAGATCCTGGTCCCCAATGGCAAGCAAGAGCTGTTTACTTCTGGTACCCTGCACTATTACCAATACGGTCACCTGTATCCCAACAATGGAAGCAAGGTCGTTGTTCGGAGTACAACGCAGCGACGCATGACAGAGTCGGCAGAGTACTTCCTTGCGGGCTTCTTTGGTTTAGGTTGGTCGCAAAATGCGACGCTTGAGTTGGCCATTGAGGCTCCTGGTTTCAACAACACGCTTGCTGGGTACAAGCAATGTAATCATTCAAGCTGGCCTATGGCTCGGGAGGGTCTTATGGAGTGGATTGGCGTATATCTTCACGACGCTCATCAAAGGTTCAGGAGCAACCTTACTGGTGATCTTGACTGGACAATTAGCGATACATACAACGCTCAAGCTCTATGTTCGTATGAAACTGTCTCGCTCGGTTTCTCCCACTGGTGCGGTCTCTTTACCTACGAAGAGTGGGAGGGCTACGAATATGCTCTGGACCTTTCATTCCAGGCTGGTACAGGGTTCGGCTCTTCTGTTGGCCGAGCTATTGGCGTCGGTATGTCTTGACAACCTCCATTGTATTTCTCGCCTTGCTAACAACAGTCAGGCTACGTTGAAGAAGTCCTCGCTCGCATGCAACACCATGTCATCACTTCCCCTTCCGCTCAGATCAACATCACCCTTGATAACAACACCGTCACCTTTCCCATAGACCAAAACCTCAATCTGGACTTTAGCCATGACGCTGGCATTATAAGCATCCTCGTCGCGTTCGGCATCACGCAGTTTGCCGAAGTACTCCCAACAACCCATATCAAAACGCCACGCGAGTTCATCCTCTCGCACCTCCAGCCCTTTGCTGGCCGTCTCGATATCGAAGTCATCAAAGCGCCTGCGCCTGTCAACCCCAATCGGTCGGACGAGAAGGTTTACCTTGACGGACCGCCGACTAGCTACGTTCATTTCATACTTAACCAGAGGACTATTCCGCTGGGGCGGAGTCACAAGGAATGTGGTGATAGAGATGATGGGTGGTGCGATATGGAGACTTTCCTCAAGGTTATGCAAAAGCAGATTGAGCTTGCGGATTATGATTACGCTTGCTTTGGCGAGTATGATGCTCCTGCATATGGAGAGGTTACGGACGGACGGCCGGTTAGGTAATGGAAAGGTTTTGGGAACGCGTCGCGATGACGGCGTTTGAATTTTTTTCTGTTGCTATCTAATGAGACAATGATGGTTGATGCCAGGTGATAACACTGCGTCACAAAATACCAGATGCACAAGAATTGCTTAGGACAAGGTGTGTGTTGTCGTGCAAGACTTGTAGACGAACCGCTACCAGGTTACGACAGCGGTGACAGAGACTATATAGTAGGGTTTACCGCCTAGATCAGCCCGATACAACCTATGATCTGAGAGCAGAGAGCAGCAAGATGTTCCTCCTTTCCGTAACATAATGCCGGAAGCTCACTACCCTTCTTTAGCATCCTCGTCCATGTCCGAAGCCCCCTCTAGTAATCGTCCTCTGAATCATCCTCTGCGTCCATGTCCCATTCCTCTGAATCGTATACGTTATCCGGAATCTCTTTGTCTGTGTCTTGCACCCCAATGTAGCGCACCTCGTCAGGTGCACCATCGACATCTAGCGCTTGACCGTCGAGGCGCAACTCAATGACACCCTCACCCAGAAATGTAATGCAGGCGTCAGCACGTGCATCTCCAATTACGTCGACACGATAATAATCTTCGTCTGCGAAGTCTGGGGTTTCGTCCAATCTTATAGTAAGCCCTTCAGTTGGCTGATCCATAAGGTAACACTCTATTCCAACGGCATCGTTGGGATCTTCATCGTAGAGCTTCATGGCTCCTGGGCGGATCTCTATGGTTCCAACATCCTGCCAATCATCGAGTGTATCGGAGAAATCGCTGGGGTCCATCTCCTCGACGTAGAATCTGAGGTAACCGGATGAGAACATTACGTATGTGCCAGTGATGTAGTCAATTGGTCTCCTCGCCCCTTCGTAGCCTTTGGCGAAGTGCTTCTGCTTTTCGCCTGTGATGCGCAGCTCTGTTCCTTTCTTCGGCGATTCCGACCGAACTATCATCATAATCATCCGAAACCGTTTCTTCTTCTTATGACCAAGTTAGATTTTGGCTAGGATTAGAGCTACTGCACCATACCTTTTTCCAGTTCGGGTAAGGGGTTTACTTGACGTTTAGTCGGCGTATTGGATCGGAGACAGGTCCGGTGAATTTTGGCGATTAGGTTTTTAATCCGGAACCTAGAAACAAGAAAGTACTTTGAACCTCTATATGTGCTGTTACAACGGGTGAAGAAACAAAAACGTGGCGGTGGCAAGCATGGATGTGACCTCTATGAAGAGAGGATCTCCATCACGTTTCCGGGGAAATCCGCTTATCGGTCCTACCACTCGCACATGGCTTCAGAACGTTAACCATGGAAACGCATTGTTGTATAAGGTGCGAAAGTAGTATCTGCCTGGAAAAGAAAACTGTGGAATAACCGTCCATTGTTAGGGTGTTTACCTAGGTACCCAAGCTGCCGGATCCTAAAGACCAGGTGTATCCGCAATCCGGAAAACATATTTGACAGCACTTTGTTTCCCGTCCTTGAGATCTTTCAGGGCCTGCTCCACGCCTTCTAACCCCCCAGACCTTACTTCGAACGGATGTCCGTCGAACGTCCCCGCCTGCAACGCTTTCGTGAACCAGCGACAAGTTACCAAACCCAGATCACTCGCATCAGCACCATGAGCGCCATTGTCCTGGTTATGAACAGTGCCGACTGATGTTTTTGTCTTGGTCTGCGAAGACCCAACGTCCCAGTCACTCGGCAGAATAAGATCGATTGATCCATCAGATGCGACGACCTCTGTCAACACCTTCTGGCTCGGAAGCCCGATGCCAGGGTCAAGCCCGTGTCGCAATTCACTGTAGTTGCCTGCCTTGAGGTGTGCGCGAATCTTGCTTATCATTTCGTCAGCACCAATGCGGTAGTCAATGACAATATCGCCCTTGCTGCTATCCAAAAGCGTTTCGACGTAGTGCGAGCCCTTTCCTGCAATCGCGATGATGGGGTGAACGTTGCTATTGCGTGCAAGCTTGATAGCGAAGGAGCCGACAGCCGAACTGGCACCGTAAACCACAAAAGGTGTAGAAGTAGTTGCGGGATTCCAGGGTGTGGGGAGTTTGAGGTTGCGGAATACAGCTACGGCGGCGGTAAGGCTCGCGAGTGGTATCGTTGCAGCTTCTGTTAAGACACAAAGTTAATCATCTGCAACGCAGGGCTCAAAGGTGAAAGGGGCGAGTACACCTTCAAAAGACTTTTCGGCAGGGATATGGAAAGTCGTCCAATCCCACGCAAGTGCATACTCTGCGTATGAACCTCCAGGCCCGCCCATCTCATGGAAAGCTGCGACGCGGTCTCCCTTCTGCTCCTTGCATTAGCATCTCTTCTCTCTGTCACAGTCTCTGGACTATGTACCTTGAACTCAACAACATCCTTGCCAACCTTTTCCACTATCCCTGCAATATCGTCGCCCTGGTTTACATCCCTCTTGCCCTTTGCCATTATTGAGTCGTCGTCGGGGCCATCGTAGCCAGCGGCGAATTCTGGCACTTTCCAGTCCTTGGGGTTAGAGCCGGAGACGACGACCTTGATAAGGACTTGCTTGGCGCTGGGTTCGGGGATGGGGGCGTCAGACTCAATCTTGACCTTGACTCCTGAGCCAGGGCAGTTGACGAGGCTCTTCATCGTGATGGTGATGGTTTGAATCTGAGTTCGATGAGGGTTGGAAGACGTCTAGAGTATCGAAGTACGGATTTAGAACACAGCGAGGAACCCACTGGACCGTTTCTAGGTAATTGTTCCATCCTTTTATCATACAAAGGTGTGTACGACATCGCAATTGACATTTGCCGACTCCGTCTTTTCTGCGGCTGAATGTTACAAATGCAGGTGGTCTCTGACCACACTCTAACTCGAAGAAAACATGCGACACTCGACCACACCTAGCTATATGGGGCCTAAGTGTAGCATTTCTCCTTCAATGGTGTAATGCCTACGTGCCTTCCCACGGAGTGGTCGACGGCAAGGCCCACTAGCGTGCGGAAGCGGAGTCTCGGATGGTCAGTTAGCTTGACATTTCGGACGGAGTGCACCGAACGCTGCAACTTCATGGCGCTTCCGATTTCTACCTAGAAACTTCCATTGCAAAAGGATGCAAGAATCTCTGCTCCATCAAACATCTAAGTGGAAGCTTCACGTTTTACCAAAGCGTTAAGAACTTGAAATCCATAGAGGACCAGACACGGTGTCGATCCTGTTCATTCTCACGCACACACATACATTCGAGCGGCTTTAAGGAGCGCTTATTTCATGCTATACAGTCTCCAATTGCGACACTGCCACGATGCAACGCATCAAACCAATACTTTCGTAGCAGGTACCCATCCTTCGTGCTTCGCAAGTTCTCGCACATCACGTCTTCATCTCCATCTCCATCTCCAATTTCTCCAGATCCAAGTTTGGCGCCATCTTCTTCGCCCACCAAAGCGCCACCCAGCCTCTACTAGTATCCTTTAGTTTGATCGCCAGCTCCTGCTCTTGCTCCTGTTCTTCTGACTCCTGCTTGTATCGCTTCTCCATCTCCTTGCGCGTCATGCTGCGGAAGCTTGTATCGACCTTCTGGCTGAAAGCCCCCGACGCCCAAACGCCAGGTACATAGGCCTCAGTCGTGCGGTGGAACTCAGGTCGCCGGCGGCGGTGTTCGGCAAGCGTGTGAGTAGCGTGTGGTAGTACTATTGCAGTACGAGAGAGTGGCTGGAAAGGTGGAGGGTTGGCGATGTAAAGGTGCTCAGGCGACATAGTCACGGTATTTGATAAGCGAACCCGTTTGGGCAGTGGCGATGGCGAGGAAGATTGGCTGCCTGTCAAAGTGATGGCGCGAGGCCGCTTGAGGACCGGTTTAGGCATCGCAATGTTATGCTGGTGGTCCGGCATCGACGTGACAAGCGTCTGCGCGATTGCTAGTAGTGGACACTCGAACTCGAACTGACGTACATCTGAACGCTCTTGCGGTACAGTATGTTGAAGCCGGCTGGTGACAGGGGTTTGCGACGACGTTGAAAGTGAAGTGTCTACTGGCGGATTTGTTCGAGATGACTCCAGCTCTTCTTGTGTCATCTCTTCCTCAATAGCCATCTTCAGCCATACCATCAGTAATCGCGCTTCTTTCTTCTCCTCATCGGTCGGTTCTCCTTCTTCCGCACCCTGGACGTATCTTAGACCCGGTACCCTAGTCAGCACAATCATCTTCTTGTCCCACACGTTCAATGCTTCTCTCAGCTTTGGAAGATCCTGGACTGGTGTGTTCTTGTCTTCAAGTAAGTCTTCGAACTTCTCTATGGTATTTGCCAATGCAATCTTGGCGGTACGCCAGGCCTTTCGAAGGACCTTGTGAGCGTCTGCCGTGTGGCGATCTTCTCCCCTTTTCTGGGAATTGAGCACTCCGCCGCGCGCGTCGAATTGTCCTTGTACGGATTGAATAGCGGCGATTTGTGAAGTTACTGTGCACGTCGGGCACAGCAATGGAGAGGCTGGCTGCGGTGCAAGAGCAGTAGCTTTAGCGTGGGTGCAGATGCTCGCGACGCAGATGGGCGCGGCGCCCTCAACTCGTACCATTTTGCGCGGTGTGAGGGTTGAGTGGAAGCGTTAAGTGTAAATATGGCTGTGGCGAGAGATTGTTGCGATTCTGTGCAGGACACCTGGGACCGTGCGTGACTGACCTGCGGTTCTATCTTGTACTGAAGGCAGCAAAGTGAAAGAGCGCATGCTGCTGCCTCGTGACGTCGCAATAACAGGTGAAGTAAAGGAAAAAATTGGGGAAGCTGTCGCAGTCTTCATGGCTCGGACGTAGACGTGTCCACGCTCCAGCATATCTCAGACAATATCTCCAGAACTTTTGGAAGCAGAATAAGGAGCTATCAGATGAGACAGCCCCACCTTGAACATCATTCTATATACACACCTCAAACTTCATGAAACAGCCAGGAAAAAGGTCACATGTGGCGGAAGGGCGACAATCAGTGGCGAGATGAGAAAGAAGCAAAAAGCTATCTGAGAGTGATGTCATCGATATCTAGAAAAGCGCTCTACAGTACCTGGGTATTGGTAGAGGGAAAGGTCCATCCAATGAATCGAATGATTGATAGTGTGAAGGAGTGCGTGGCCTTTGGTGAAGTTGAGGTACCAGGATGCAGGAAGTCCACGTAGGTTTTATGCATAGCTAAGCTGTCTTCAGTTCACATCAGAGGTACCCGCGACGACCACCATGTGCTGGAAGGGTCAAGAGGTTCACTCACAACGTTCTGATCGGATCAAGACCTTGCTCAGACTTTCCCACGCGGCTTCGGTATGCTGCAGGCGACTGTCGCTATCATAGTACTGCACTGCTGAGCGTTGGTAGCAATAGAGAGTGGTGTCACTGCGCTTCGAACCACAACGCGCAGTCCCAAGTTATGTATTCGCCGAACACGATAGTACGATGCATAGCTAGGCCCGTGATAATACAGAACCTTGCTAAGTTTCGCTCATCACCGCCTACTCACATGGCCATCTCCAGGCACATCTACGAAGCACTTCTCTCACTTCTCTCAACAAACCACATGGCTGCACATGTTTGTGTCTTCTCTTGCATCCTTAGCTATCGGCAAATAAGCCAAGTGCCGGATCGTCGTGTAAACAACATAGTCAATTACCGAAATCTGTCGGCTTGATCGGCGAGGCGACGTGGACCGTGTGAGCATGTACTACAGATAGTCGGTAATTGCTTCCTTGCGGAAAAAGAAAAGTCAACCTGTAATGCATTTCGAACGACATTAAACGGGAGATGACATGTTCGAGAGTCCTGCACGTAGAAAAGGGGTCTCCGAAAACTCCGAAAACGGTTCTCGTGAAGGATATGCTATGACATTTGCCAAGGCCGCGGCCCGCGAAGTCCGTGGGCGCGAGGCTGAAAGCTGCGATCGCGCCACCACGAACGAGAGCATCATCTAGAGTGTAACACCAACATCGACGCCAAACACATTGCATCGTGTTTTTTGTCACTTTCGTCCCTTCCTTTTTCTGCTTGGAGAGATGTGTTGCTAGTAGGGCCGAAAGAGAAGATCAGTTCGTGCTTTGGAGCCGGTGCGACTATCGTAGCGCCTTCTTAGAGCAATAATGTCAGTCCATGCTATCGAAGAGCCACATGAAGACCATGGTACTGCTCCAAGTCTTCATTATGATGCCAGGACGACTTGCATACATAAGGATGTTCCGCGGCCTCCAACAATGGCAACCCCAGACATGGAGAAATCTACGTGGCTGTCGTCATTGACGAATCATGGTTCCAAGCCGCCGTTCATGCTCAAGTTCAGAAGCTCGGATGCATTCATCATCGGGACTATTTCCTTGGCTGTTTTTACTGTAAGTAGTCATCCCTAATATAGCTATCGCTTGGAGCTGACAAAAGAAGGACATGTTTCTGTATGGCGTCATTGTGCCTGTCATACCCTTCGCAATAGGTTCGCTTAGCCATGTTAAAGATGCCCAAGTCCAATACTGGGTCTCGGTACTCGTCGCCGTATATGGCGCTGCGCTTCTTGCATTCTCGCCCATTTGCGGGTGGCTTGCAGACCGCGGCTCGTCACGTCGAACTCCGCTTCTTCTGGGCTTGCTAGTCCTCTTAGGGGCTACTATCCTGCTAAACTTTGGCAAATCGATCGGCGTTCTAATCGTTGGACGAATACTGCAAGGAGCTTCAGCGGCTGTGGTATGGGTCGTCGGCCTCGCCTTGCTGGCTGACACAGTGCCTCAGGAGCGACTCGCAACAGCTACTGGGTGGCTGACTATTGGCGTATCTCTTGGCATGCTCATATCTCCTCTCCTTGGTGGCGTAGTCTATGACAAGGCTGGCTACAATGCTGTGTTTGGCATGTGCTATGCATTGGTTGGATTGGACGTGGTCCTCCGGCTCCTGCTCGTGGAGAAGAAGGTCGCCGCGAAATGGGATACAAACGCTACGGGCCGCCCACCCGTCGACGATAACGCATACTTAGAGAAGACCATAACGCCGGTCATCGCTCCGACAGGTCAAGACCTTGACGAAGATGCTAGCAAGACCATATTGCAGCAAGAAGCGTCGATCGTCGAAACGCAGCAGAACAGTCCGCCTCATCGACGTCTACGCGACCGTCTACCACCAGTCCTGTCGCTCTTGTACTCCCGACGTTTACTCGCCTCACTATTCTGCGCTCTTATTCAGGCCATGTTGTTGACAGCCTTCGACTCTGTTCTTACTATCCACGCCGCAAACACATTCAACTGGAATTCAACAGGCGCCGCACTCCTGTTCCTTCCGATTATCATTCCAAGCCTCCTCTCGCCGTTGTGGGGTTGGCTGAGCGATACGTACGGCGGCCGCTATGTGGTTGTCGTGGGCTTCCTGTGTGGCTGTCCTCCCCTCGTCTGCCTCCGTTTCGTAGACGAGAACACAATGAAGGACAAGGTGTTGATATGCGCGTTGTTAGCTGTCACTGGGTTGTTCGTAGGCATGACCTTTGCACCAGTTATGGCAGAGATATCCGCTGTTGCTGAGGCAAAAGAAAAGAAGATGATTGCAAATGGACGCCCAGGATTTGGCAAAGGTGGTGCGTTCGCGCAGGCTTATGCACTATACAACTGCGCATTCGCAGGAGGCTGCATGGTGGGACCCTTGCTGGCCGGATTTCTCGTGGAAGACAGTGGATGGGGCACGATGGCAGCGGTGCTGGGAGCGCTGTCTGCTGTCACCGCTGTACCAGGCTTTCTATGGCTGGGCGGATGGGTGCTAAGAAACAAGTGATAGCAGTCGTTAGAAGAGCCTGTCGGAATATTTGACTTGATATATTGACGTCTGTTGGTTGCACTCTGCGTGTTGTGCGACATGGTACCAACTGCCTCTGATTCGTCCCAACCTGCCGGCGTTACTCTTGTGGCCCGTAAGCCGCAACGCCACACCTTGATCGCACCTTCACGTCTCGACATCGCATCTCATCACTCCATCATACCTCCATCCTAGTTCGCCATCACGCCTGCGATACTGCACAAGTTTACCTCGGTAGAGTGTTACGTCAGCTCCCGTTGGCATTCCCGGAAGCAGCGTCTTGCTTATCCCCGTCGTTCCTCGCCGCATGCGTTCAATCCAATCGACCCGCCGCCCAACCAAATACAACCCTCGCTACTCCACCCTGTCGATACTTGCTGCACGCAATCAAACCCCTTTTGATACTCTATTTTCAAATGCTGTGCCAGCCGTGTGGTTGCACGAAAAGACCCTATTCGCGGCGGAGTTTGGATGATAGTCTTTTCCGAAAGAAGTGACAATGGAATCTGCCTCGGCGCCTTCGCTGCGCATCGGCAAAACCAACCTTTTGGGAATTCTCAGGGTGTTATGTCTCCGAGCTGCACTACGTCATGCAACCAGAGAAAAACGTAGGAGAAACGCGCAGAGAACTGCCGACATCGCTCGTGACAGCTTTCCTCCGATGGCCTAGAATGATGCATGGAAAACTGCAACTGCACTGCCATGTCCTTGACCATACTACAGGTTCCCGCTAAATTAGCTTGTAAATCCTAGATCACCTGGCCTATACTACGCATTCTAGCTTCTGGGGTCGTCATACTCCGTCTGGGGTTTTCTGGTACCTAAATCTGCGACAGTCACTCTAAGCTTATGCCCGATCAATCACGTTGCGCGGTTGGAATGGCCTAATCCTATAACGTGTTTCAGGCTCTAGGCGACTACGCAAGTATGATTACTCTGCAGCAAGTCCGTCTTCTTCTCAAGACTTCTGCGAAAATGTAGAAGGTCACGCATCAGGAGAAAACACTCACGCCTAGAGTCTTGGGTCCACGATGCCCGTTTTCGCCGGAATCTGTGCGGGGTGTTACATCAGGTCTACGGCGAGCTACGTTCGCGTGAACGCGTCACATGCGCCACAACTACATACGGTGTGCTTAGCAAACAACCTCCTGACCGGATCGACATCTACGTAGCCTTCTATCCATACTTTCGGGGGTAAGGTTCGCTTCAACGGCGTCCAATTTGCCTTCCTTATTAGGTCATAGATCACACGCCAGTTTACCTCCAAGAGAACTTGCTAAGCTGACTATGAGTATACCAAGAAAACTTACTAATTTCACTATACGTATACCGCTCAGATCTGACAAGGTATATTTGCCAGTCATCCCTTGCTATAGCAGTTGCAACTCACCAGGTTAGCACTTGCAAGGGGCGCACGCGAACACCACCCTTACCAACTGTGGTTCCTATTCCGGTGACAGCCCATCTCAAGTGTAAAAGTGCTGCTCATTTACGCGCACCACTTAACCTTTACCTTGGTTCACGACCGCCACATTTTCAGGGCCTTCGCTCTTACTCTTAGCTTCGTATACTACTCAACATCATGATTTTCAGCCGCGCACTTGTGGCTTTATCGCTATGCGCCAGCGCCATTGCAGCTCCCACGTAAGTGTTGTCTACGATGCGGCGGAACACGTCTTTCCACTTCCGGCTGAGGCGTGGCAACTCCCGCACTCACTACTCTTTCCCTAGCAAAGTTTGCTTCACGCAGCTGCTGATACATTTCCAGTGAGAAGCGTGGAGTCGACTTCAATTGGGGGTCGGAAAAGATTCGTGGTGTCAATATTGGAGGATGGTTGGTCCTGGAACCGTAAGCTACCTTTGACTTCCGAAAACCTGAGGATGTGCTACTAAGTATCTCCACACAGTTGGATCACGCCCTCGATCTTTGACGCAGCAAACCAGGGTCGTCCGGGGGACATAGTTGACGGTAAGTTTTTTCCGCAAGATGCGACAGGGTTAGAAGCTAATGCTTCACAGAGTTCACCTTGTGCGAAAAGCTTGGGCATGACGCAGCACTTAGTATCCTCCGCAACCACTGGGATACGTGGGTTAGATGGGAAGACTTCAACAAGATCAAACAGTCCGGCTTCAACATCGTTCGTATTCCTGTCGGCTTCTGGGCATACGACACGTTCGGTTCGGCTTATGTCAGCGGTGCAGCCGTCTACATCGACGCCGCTATTGATTGGTCGCGAAGCCTAGGGCTCAAGATCATCATTGACCTCCATGGCCTACCAGGCTCGCAGAACGGATTCGACAACTCTGGCCAACGGATGGACAAGCCCCGCTGGCAAGAAGGCGACACAGTCGCGCAGACTCTGCAGGTTCATCGGACCATCGCGCAAAAGTATGCGCAAGCACAGTATCAGGATGTCGTCGTTGGTATTGAGCTAGTCAACGAGCCTGCATTGTACAATGGTCTTAACCGGGACGTGCTTGCACAATTTTACCGCGATGGCTATGGTCAGATCAGAGAGGTTTCAGATACCCCAGTGATCCTTTCCGATGGTTTCGTGGCACCGAACACTTGGAATGGTTTCCTCACCCCGTCGGATGCAAACGCAGTAAACGTTGCTATGGATCACCATGACTATCAAGTTTTTGACAGCAACCTCCTTCGCATGTCACCTGCCGACCACGTAGGATACACCTGCAGTAACTCTGAGTCGTACAACGGCGCGGATAAGTGGACTTTTGGTATGTGATCAGATGACCATACTATTTCTTGACACTTGCTGACTCGCATTGCTTTTAGTTGGAGAGTGGACAGGAGCCATGACGTAAGACAGCCCTCACTTTTGTGACACGTGAGACCCTTACTGACACCGTACCAGAGATTGTGCAAAGTACCTCAATGGCTACGGCCGTGGCGCCCGATACGACGGCACTTTCTCAGGCAGCTCCTACATTGGATCTTGCGCCTGGCAAAACAACCTCTCAACCTGGCCAGCTTCCTACAAGGACGACTCTCGACGGTACATCGAGGCCCAGATCCAAGCATTTGAGTCCAAAACTCAGGGCTGGTTCTGGTGGAACTTCAAGACAGAGGGTGCGGCTGAGTGGGACGCTTTCCGACTCATCGACGCTGGCGTCTTTCCGCCGATCAGAAACGGGCAGGTGGAATACAAGTTCGGCACTGTTTGTTAGGAGCAAAATGGGACGGTGACTTATCAGCTTCCGGGTAATTGGACAAAACCGTACATGGGTACAATCCTGGATAGGCGAGGGACACATTTATGAGTAACGACTATGCACATTGTTCAGCTGATTGATGAGATATATGATAAATACTACGTCTGCACATACATGGCACTAGCTTTCAGAGCTGAAGTATTCTGCATCATGTGAGTAACGTGGGAAAAGCAAGTAGGGCGAACCACGCGCAAACATGCCATCGCACGATGTCCGCCAACCGTCGCACCGCTTCCGAATAGTAAGACGTTCCAGCTCAAAGACTTACCGCCAACGGATCACGTTATGCGAAATGCGCACAATGGAACCGCGCCAATGGATTCAGCTTCTCCACAGAAAAACGTTGTCGGCCCCAGTTGTTCCCCAGATTCCCAGCCAAAAGGCACCCCGTGTGAACCCACAACCAGGAAATCACACATATTCCTCCTACCGGCGTCAAAACTACTACCGAAAAGTCTTGGATAGTGTGCATATGGACTGTTTATTACGATAAGATCTGCAGGCCAAGCTTAGTGGCTGAACAGATTGGAGTGCGCGAGGAAGCTATATTGCAGTACAGTGCGGGGAAAAGTCTTGGATGCGTCCTATGCCAATACCACGCCAAGCGGGTGATTAGAACATGTGTGTTAACACACCATGCCGCCATTGTGCATTACAAAAGGAAGTGCGCATCCTACTTTGCTTGCTGGCTACCTTTTCCAGTCCGTCCGGTCCAAAAACTTCTCCTGCGAAGAAGTCGGCTTGAAAGACCCTCGCCAAGATGGATACAAAACACCAACCTACCGTTGAGCCGACGGACGAGAAACCCGTGGCTGTGGCGCACTTGGAAGACAAGAGTGAGCTTGGTCCCGATAAGCATGCTGGCGCGGTGGACTATACCGGCGCGGAGGCGAAGACAGATCCGGAAGAGATTGCACTTGTACGGAAGATCGACTGGAGACTGATGGTAAGTTATAGTGGGAGAGATTGACACAGAGCGAGAAGATGTGTTTGGCTAATGTGCATGGGGTGCAGCCGACGTTATGCGTCATGTACTTTCTGAACTACGTTGACCGCAATGCTATTGCGCAAGCACGTCTGAACAATCTAGAAGAGGACTTGGGAATGTCTGGAGTTGAGTTCAACACTTGCGTTAGCATTCTCTTCGTGGGCTACGTCTTGATGCAGATCCCGTCGAGTGAGTACTTTTGCCCTGTCCGCGATTGATAGGAAGCTGATGTGTACAGATATGCTCATCACGAGGATAAGACCTGGTATTTATATGAGTACGTGGATGTTTGTCTGGGCCATTGTATCAGCTTGCACAGCGCTGGTGCAGAACTTTGGCGGACTGGTCGCATGCCGGTTCTTCCTGGGTATCACTGAGGCGCCCTTCTATCCTGGAGCTACGTACATGCTTTCCATCTTCTACACGCGGAAGGAAGTCGCAACACGTATTGCGCTGCTTTACTGCGCGCAAATCCTGGCTACTGGGTTTAGTGGCTTGATTGCTGCTGGCGTGTTCCAGCTAGATGGTGCAAGGGGCATTGCAGGATGGCGTTGGCTGTTCATTATGTTAGTATGCTGCCAAAAGCTCAGATATGCCTTTCAAACTGACGAACTGATAGTGAAGGAGCGGCGACGGCGTTGGTGGCCATCTGGGGATTCTTCATGCTACCCAACACTCCATTGACTACCAGTTGGTTGAACCCTAGAGAACGCGAACTTGCCCATGCGCGCATGGAGCGCGACCGCGTTGGCGACTCCACAGAACCCGTCAGTATGATGGAGGGACTGAGACAGGCGTGTCGCGACAAGAGAACTTGGTTATTCTGTCTCATGCAGAACTTCCATCTCAGTGCTTGCTCGTTCAACTCCTTTTTCCCAACGTAAGTGGACTTCAGCTCACACCTATTCTAGGAAAAGCTTACTGATGGCGATGATAGCGTGGTCAAGACTCTCGGCTTCAGCACCACAATCACTCTGGTGCTGACATGTCCTCCCTTCCTGCTTGCCGGCGCAGCAGGTATCGCTACAGGCTGGAGTTCAGGACGCTTGCATGAACGTACCTGGCACATCACCGGCGGACTTCTGGTCGCCATTGTTGGATTCGTCATCGCTGCCAGTACCTTGAACACTGCCGGACGATATGTCGCGTGCTTCATTTTCCCCATTGGCGCCTACTCCGTCAACTCCGTCATCATCGGCTGGGCATCTTCGACGCTCAGCCAGACGAAAGAGAAGAAAGCCGTCGTCCTTGCCATGACAAATGTCGGTGGCCAGATTGGTAAGTCATGGCTATACGAGATGCATGTGGGACATACACTGACTTTGTATCTTCACATCTTCAGGTTACATCTACGGTGCGTACCTCTGGCCGGACTCTGATAAGCCGAGGTACGGCATTGGATTTGGCGCATCCGCTGCGTTTGCGCTGTGCTCGATTGCTTGTGCGTGGGCGATTCGCATAATGCTCATCAAGGAGAATCAGAGACTCAAGGCGTCAACGAATGAGCGTGTCAACTTGTACGGATACTGATGAGGTGGCTGGTCCATGAGCTGTTCCCACACATCGAAAATGGCTTCATTGCTGTCATGGAGATGGGCTGTCGGGGTTCGTGATGAATCAAAGGCCAATGTACATGTGGTACGAGTAGGAGGCCTACCTCAACCGAAATATAGCTCCGTCTGTCTACATACATTCTTTGGTAGTGTGCATCGTAGCCATAAACGATATTTGAACCCATCAATGAAACAATCTGATGTTGAAAGACCTCCTACCACATTCAACTGAAGTCAAGAATGTGATGGTTCCATCAAGGAGTTTCGAGGTTTCATTTCGATAGTTGGCGATGGTACATGCCATGTGATTAGTCTACGCGGCGAGATTTGGAAGTAGACGTTATAATTGTAGATTAGAACAGCAGGCCAGAATCAATAGTCGTCGAGGTCAGCTTAAAACAAAACAACGATTAGCCTGGGACTGCATCAGATCACGCGCCAACCCATTGCGTTCTCTGACCTATACTCTTTCAAATCTTGATACGTGCTAATTAGTAAGAATGGGCGAACTCATTGTTGATATCCTATCAGTCACGGCAGCTGGCAAAAGTCAATACACCCAGATACACGATAGTTCCCAGACCTCATTCGAGGAGAAACCACTATCATTACCTCTTCCTAGAGATTGAAAAATCCGCTATGCAATATCAATATTACGCCTGGCTCACCAAATACCTATGGAAGCTTGATGCAAGGAAACGCTAGATGACAAGAACAACAACAACAATATTAACAAAGAAACTTCCAATTGGTTCTATATTGAAGACTGGGGTGTCCAGTTCTTGTAGAGACAGGAGCACAATGTGCTGGCATCCTGAGCCTTGAGCTTGGCGTCGTCGCCGGATGAGCTGGTGCAAGCTGGTATCCCTTGTCCACCTGCTACGCTTTGTTCGATACGTGCGGCTACGTTGAGTTAGTTGGTGCTCGTGATATGCGCAGAGGAAGTGATGCTTACCATATGGCCATGCTTTGTTCGCGACCTTTCCCACAGCGATGGTGTCGTCTGGATACGTCTGCTGCATCTTCGTGTACAGATACCCGTTCACGTTCGTCGCACCGTAGTCGCACTCAAAGTCGCCCCTCTTGTTTCCAAGACTGCCAGTCACGTTGACGGTCTTTGACCGCGAGATCTGGAATCGGTATCGCTCCGTGTCCTTCCCTGAATCCAACAATTCGAGATCTTCATTTTGGAATGTAGTATCAAACGTGTCGTCTTGTGCACCGGACGATATCTTATACGAGCCTGATGAGCCGCTGATGTCCCAGTTGAGGATCGTGAGAGCTTTTTGTGGATCGTCGTAGTAATTTGTGTTTGGCGGGCAGGTCCAGGTATCGGGATCCGCGGTACAGCCGGTGTTGACGGTGTCGAGGAATAGTACAAGCGACCAGCTACCGACTGGGAAGTTTGAGGGGACAGCGGGTGAGGAAGATGATGAGGATACGGATGAGGGAGAGTCGGTCGCGGTGGGGGAGTTTGAGTCGGAGTTGCTGTCTGATGCAGGCTTGCCGTCACTACCAGCCGATGTCGAGCCGCCTGTAGATGTGGAAGCTTCAGACGAACTGCTACAAACGTCGTTAGCCTCAGACGTCTTTGTGGACGCTAACTGAAATATCAACCTACCTCTTGTGATCCTTCTTCAGTCCCATGGCCAGCCCAACGCCCAAAGCCACAATCAGCGCAATGATGATAGCGGCAACTACAGCAATCTTTTTCCATCCCCAGGCACCGAGCCCCCGTCGTCTTCGTTGCCGGACGTGCCCGAACTTCTCTTCATCCCTATCACTCCATACGCTGACACTAAGATTGCTCCCATTGTGTGGTCGGTCCTCGCTGCTCTCCCTCGGTGTGGTCAGTCTGCCGCCCGTCAACACCGACATAAAGCCACCCTTCTTCTCGTTCCTGTGCACATGTCCATGCTGCACCGATCCGACATGCTGATGCGATGGGTCGTTGCAGAATGTACTTTCGGTGGTAACCTCAATCTTGGCCGTCTTGGACGGTGTGGCCGCAGGTGATTTGCCGCGTTTGGCTTCGAGGATCACGGAAAGACGCTGGCCAGCCGGTGTCGAGATGCGCTTTGCCGGCCGGTCATCCTCGGTAGGATAGTATGATTTGGCGCGCTTGGAGCGAATGAAGTTCATTAGGTCGGTGATGGCACTGGTGAGCTATATTGCTTGTGAATCGAAAGGTGTAATGCTGTTCCGTCCGGCAGAAGAAACAGTTGACGTTCTCGCAGCTATGATCGCTCGTGCGGGTGGCTTGCCGCTATATCACGCACTATAGCTTGGGAGCGAACGGGTGAAGATAACGAACGACGGTCGAAGTGAGTTGAGAGTCAGAGGAAGATATCAGGAGCTATCTTGTCCCCAGCCGAGAGGTACGACACATCCGCTTGCACACCATGATAGCAAGCGAAAGCTTGTACGGGACGAATCTTGTTGACATGTTCCTACTAAGGCCTCGAGCACCTGGCGTCTGCGCTCTATCACGCGCTAATGACCGTTATAGTATCGAATTAGACCGAACATGGCTAGGAAATCATCCCATTCTCCTGACCATCACTCATGTCGCTGGTCATCGGTGGAGCGCGCTGGAGCTGCACGGTGCTGCACGGTGCTGCGTCGGGAACGGGTGCGCCATGGATACAGTAGTTGGTGATCATGGAAGCTCGTCGGGAGCTTTTGTGAAAGGGGACAGGATGGTGGCGTGCTTCACAGCCTGGGGTTCAGTGGGACGCATTCATTTGCTGGGTCAGATGGAGACATCATGGCTGTGCCGTCTTCTCGACGTTGTGTCGCACGAGCGAACTCTGTTTGTGGCGTCGTTTCGCGTCCTGAGGTGTTTTTTGTTTTGGAGGATTTATTAGGGGCTGTCCGCCGCTAAGTTCCGTGTTCCTGGTGCCTGTGCCTGCATTCGGCAGCAGGGGTCCGCGCCGAGGAATCTGGCTGGCAAACCGACTGGACCTCAACTCCAGGGTCTTTCACGTGCCGGCCTGCAAAGGTGAAGTTTGGATGGTATACTCACCGTGTGAGAGAGACAGCTGGAGTATTCGCTGTCTTTGATGTTTGATAATCGATGAGTCACGCTAGCTGCCGAACACGCCTTCTTTACGCGTCCTCGCTCTCACCGACCGCGTACTTTCCTCGCGCGTTTGAAGCTACAAACGCGCCTGCCTGCAAACATGCTCTCGCCTACCGTCTTCTCATGACGTCTGCAAACACACTTTAATTAAGAAATCTCCAAGAGCCTACGTAAGTATCCAGGCCGCTACACCCGCACAGCTCCAGCTCTACATTGCGGACAATCTCCCGACACCAAAAACGTCAACATGCCGTCCAATCGGGTTGTAGTCCGACTCGTTCCTGGCTGCTCCGATGGTGATCCCCTTCACGTCCCCACGCCGGGGGTATACACTCGCGTCGATCCGCCAACTCTATACTTAGAGAAAATCGGCCAGCAATGGATGGATGCACGCAAAGAGGCTCGGCCAGGGGTCCAGTACATCCTCGAAGCCCTGCCATTTGGATACTCATTATGGCAGCGTCCTCGTCCATCCAACCCAGCTCACGTTGACCGCTACCTCTATGGACATCCTGGAAAGAAGCCTTTCGACTCTCCGAATCGCTTCTTCCCACATTTTGAGTATATGATGGAGAACGATGGAATCGGCATGGGTTGTCCGTGCAAGGTTTGCAGCGGCAGCGCAGGCGTCCTTCCCGGAGCTACACCAAATAGCTCACGGACGCGAACACCGAGTGTGACCTCGCAGAAGTCTAATTCGTCCGCACCGATTTCGAGTGGCCCTTCCAGCTCTCGCAGTGTTCAACCTAGCGCGCTTCCTAGCCTAGCAGCACAGCACAAAGGGCGGCCGAAGAAGACTAGGCCAGGCCTAGACAAGAGCAACGTTGATAGTGAGGGAACCCCAGACGTCTATCGCAATCTCATTGACAAGCTCTGCCGACATCAGCACGTGGATGAGTCTATTGAAGAACCATTAAGTCCAGACTGGAGAGCAGAGCAAGAATTGCTTCCTAGATTACTTGATGATATCAAGACGAACGAGCAGTGGGTACCACGCACCGGTGACATTGTCTTGTATATTCGCGACATGCCCGACGGTGTTGATCTAGTTCGAGACGAAACCGACACGAAAGAATTCCGACTGTACGATGAGCGTCGTGAGAAGAACCTGGGTGCTCCGCGGTGGGAGGCCGGTCTTGTCACTGAGGCCGCCACTGGTACTACGATCGCCGACTTTGTCGATTCTGATCAGCAACAGAATGTGTCGAACACAGGCGTGCGGGTTGAGCCAGTTCCAGACCCAAACAACGTGAACAAATCTCTTTCTAAACAGTCAGGAGTGTCCCCGTACAAAATGTATGTGAGACAGACACTGACTTCGTAAACTCAACTTCAGGCACAAGTATGTACCGCTACGACAAATACGCCCGTTCGTCCTTTGGGGTGATCTGTTGCGCCACATCCCTCAAGAGAATTGGCACGTCAGCATTAAGAACGCATTAGCTCTATCATCAACACTTTCTCTTGTGGGAAAGCACCGCTTCCGGGGGGCTTGGCCAAACACTAGCATCTACTGTCACGGCATCTACATCGGCGCTGAAATGCTTGGTGTTGGTGACACTGTCCGCCTGTTACCCAACAAGCGCCAGTCCAAGTGTACCGATGTCTTGAGCATCAAGTCTATCCGACTGAAATGGACCAATCTCGACAAAGCGTCCACCAACGACTACGATGAAGGAAGACCATACAACTCAGAAGTTTGGATATATGGATCTGCCTATACGAGCGACACCTCACGCGGCAACAAGCTTTGGGTCACCGAGCAAAACGTTGAAGGTAAGTTTTGGCTATACGAAACGCACAAGCTATGCGCTAACTTTGTATCTTCACTTCTGCAGCTCCACGTGTAGCACTTGATTATGCGGAATGGTTTCCACTACACCCAGCAGACAAGG